TGACTCGTTCCTGCAAGAACGCCATCTGCTAAGTTTCTAAAGTTGCAGGGCTGGTGCCTGTTTGCTAATCGTTTGTCAGGGGCTGGTGGTGGAATGGAGGTCAGGGATTCATCTCTCCCCCCCCCCCACTTGTAAAAAGCCAGGGGAGTTGAGATCCTGCCAGCCCCACTAGTCAGTAAATCACTCCTTCTGGTCCGGGCTGTTTGACCGATTGAAGACTCCAGATCGCTCTGCTTCTAACTTCACCAGACAGTGTGGCCTGCTTATTATGGCCAGCTCTTGCTGCTGCTTCAGCCCAAGATGGCAACAAGGAGTATGTTAGTGCAGATTTCTCAATCTGGTGGCTTTTGAATGAAAAATGCCAGAACATGGTGGGGGGGGGCATCCTTTATAAAAATGTAGGCAGCGGTTCTATACATACGTATCTGGAGTGTGCAAGATTTCCTTTCTATTTGTTGTTGTTGTTAGTTGCGAAGTCGTTTCCAACCCATCGCGACCCCATGAGAACATTCCTCCAGGCCTTCCTGTCCTCTACCATCTTCTGGAGTCCATTGAAGCTCAGGCCTACTGCTTCAGTGACTCCATCCAGCCACCTCATTCTCTGTCGTCCCCTTCTTCTATTGTCCTCAATCTTTCCCAGCATTAGGCTCTTCTCCAGTGAGTCCTTCCTTCTCATTAGGTGGCCAAAGTATTTGAGTTTCAACTTTAGGATCTGGCCTTCTAAAGAGCAGTCGGGGTTGATCTCTTCTAGGACTGACCGGTTTGAACGCCTTGCAGTCCAAGGGACTCGCAGGAGTCTTCTCCAGCACCATAGTTCAAAGGCCTCCATTCTTTGGTGCTCAGCCTTTCTTATGGTCCAACTTTCACAGCCATACATTGCAACTGGGGAAACCATGGCCTTGACTATACGTATCCCAGGATAATGTTGCAGGATCCAAAATGGATTGGACATTGGTGAAGGACTTAAATCAATTCTATTCTACAGGGGAATCCTCTGCAGAACTCTTGGAAAGGATGCCTACATTTCTTTAATACCCAAAGAAATGGGATTGGATTGGATTGAACTTCTCCCACTTCAGGATCTGGCCTTCTAAAGAGCAGTCAGGGTTGATCTTCTCTAGGACTGACCGGTTTGATCACCTTGTACTATAAACCAGGGGTCCCCAACCCTCGGGCTGCAACATGCCAGCAACCGGTCCGCACAAACAAGCAAAGCCCCATCCGCGGGATGCAGGCAGCACACAAAACCACGCTCCCTCCAGTCTGCGGAAAAACCTTTCTCCACGGAAGCGGTCCCTGGTGCCCAAAAGGTTGGGGACCTCTGCTACAATCAGTAGATGGGCAAAAGATGCTAAATATTTCTGTTGCTAAGCGAGACGCTCGTTAAGCGCGTTTTTATGCCCCGTTGTATGGCCTGCCTTGCTCACGTTGTTAAATGAATCTTTGCAGTTGTTAAATTAGCAACAAGGTTGTTGAGTGAATCCAGTTTCCCTGTTGACTTTGCTTGTCCGAAGCTTACGAAAGATGACCCCGCGACTCTGGGACACTGCGACCGTCATAAATAGGAATTGACCCGCCAAGTGTCTGAATTTTGATCCCGTGACCCTGGGGATGCAGCAGTGGTCGTAAGTGTGAAAAACGGTCATAAGTCACTTTTTTCGGCGCCCTTGCAAGTTCAAACCGTCACTAAATGAGCTGTTGTAAGTCAAGGACAACCGGTGCTCTGTTTTGCAGATAGAAAAACAGGCCGTGTTTTCATGGCCCTGCTGTGGCTGCCCTCTTCACCTCTGGGGACCACATCTTGCAAGCACACCTGCGTTCCCACCTCTTCATTTTCCAAGGGGGCAGCCCAGAGGGAGAATAGGAGCGTGAGGCTGCGTCTTGTAAACTAGCATTAAAAATTATATAAAATAATAAACGAGATAGCCACGGAGCATGGAAGATTGCCAAGGGTTGCTAACCACATGGGTTTCTGCTGGCTGCATACTGGCAACGTGGGTTCACAATCCTTCCAGAGTGTGACAGAAAAATGCACACTCAGTTGCTGCAGACTCTTGCTATGTCCTCTGTATAATTTAAGGGCTGTGCGAGAGGAGTAGAATAGACCTTAGTTTGTTGCAATTCTGAAACAGCTAAATGTCAGAAAAGGATGATGATCTGTAATGAAATAGCCAGGTCTTCTGTCTTGGAACAGGGAGTTGGACTAGAACCCCAAAGCTGCTTTCAGCCTTACGATTTTATCAATCTGTCCATTCCTATCTGCCCCCTCCTCCTGCTGCAGTGATTCACTTAACAACTGAGAAGTGTAACATGGGACAAAATGCATTTAACAAATGTCTCGCTTAGTCACAGAAATTTTGGGCCCAGCTGTGGTTGTTAAGTCGAGAACTAGCTGTATTTTATCTGAAAGCGGATTGAATGGCTTATTTCAGTAAACAAAAGACTGGCAGGTTTTTAAACCTGTTAATGCAATTCACCACCCAGAGTCCAATTAGATGCAGCTCAAAACGCCTTTGGAGCAAATTATCTCAGTTTTTTAATTATTTATTTATTTATTTAATTTTATTTATATGCCGCCCAATCCCAAAGGACTCAGTTAAAAAGCAAACAAATATAGACTTTCAGGACTGTCATGTTTCGGGTAGGTTTAATTTTTTTTTTTTTTTAACCTTAGCAGCTGCTGTTTCGATAAAATTAAAAATATGACCATTGTAGGTAAAGAGTTTTGGACAAACTAAATGCTTAGTTATGTTTGTTGTAGAGCCTTAAGATTCGAAGTGTGAAGACTTTAGCCTTCTCTTTAGCCCTTAGCAGATTATGGGAGTTGTGGAACATGGAAGTTTGTCTTCTGCCAAGTTTAAATTCTGCGTGGGGTTTGTCTTCTTTCTTTCAAGATTAATCTCAGCTTTGTGTGCCGAGGTTTAGCAGTGTTACTTTTTTTGAGCCCTGAAAATGGTTTCATCGTAAGCTAGGTCAAATCAAGGGTGGTGTTTATTTTTTATCTATTTTATCTATTTTTACAAGAGATCCCTGTGTCTCAAAGTTAAGGTTTTCATTACTAACAAAAGACATCTGGGGAAGAAGATCACCAAATGGTGTTGATTTTGAGAGAAGCTAATCTCGGAATTCCCCCCCCCCTTTTTATTTTTATCTTTTCCTACTTGGTGCTAGGGATGAAGAAGTACGTGTCTAAAGCTGCATATACAGTAGTTCCTCTTTCACTGAAGTTTGAGGAATGTGTAAGACCTTTGCATCATGCCATTCATGATGTTGGCTTAATGGTCACAGTATCCTCAGCAGAAATACGTTGTTTGATTCAATAGGCGGAGTTGTTTTCGACAACTTGAAGAGTATTTGCAGTAATAATCATTTTATATGCGATAAATTTATGTGGCATTCTGAAACATGGGGTCCTTATGCAGCTAAGGCAGGGGTAGGCCACCTTGGCTCTTTTATGACTCGTGGACTTCAACTCCCAGAATTCCTGAGCCAGCCGTGCTGAGGGGAAAGGGAGAGGTTTCCAAGCTGAGCCATGCTGGCTCAGGAATTCTGGGAATTGAAGTCTACAAGTCATGAAGGGGCCATAGTTCCCTCATGCTGGCTCAGGAATTCTGGGAGTTGAAGTCCACGAGTCATAAAAGAGCCAAGGTTGCCTACCCCTGAGCTAAGGCAATATCCAGGATGTTGTTGTTCAGTTGCTAAGTTGTGTCTAAATCCTTGGGATCCCATGGGCCATACATAGCATGCCAGCCCCCTGCCCCCCCCACTGTATCCTGGAGTTTGCCCAGATACACGTAGTCCTTGACCTACGGCCACAATCGAGCCCAAACCTTATGTGGCTAAGTGAGAAAGTGAGTTTTGCCCCGTTTTATGACTTTTCTTGCCACATTTGTTAAGGGAATCACTGCAGTTGTTAAATGAGTAACACCAGTGTGAAGTGGATCTAGTTTCTCCCATTGACTTTGCTTGTCAGAAGGTCGCAAAAGGGGATCACGTGACCCTGGGGGACGCCGCAACCGTCATAAATATGAGTCAGTTGCTAAGGGTCTGAATTTTGATCACGTGACCGCGGGCATGGTGCAATGGTTATAAGTGTGAAAAGGGGTCCCTTTTTCAGTGCCGTTGTAACTTTGAACGGTCACTAAATGAACTGTGGTAAGGCGAGGACTACTTGTACCATTTATTTATTACTTATTCATTTTTTATGTCTGTCCATCTCACCATTACACAGATTCTGGGCGGCTTACCATGTTTGGGCCTTCAGGTTAGCCTTGACTCCTGGTGATGGCCAGGAAAAGTCCCTGTAGTTTTCTTCTGGAAAGATCTTGGAAGTGGTTTGCCATTGCTTTCTTCCTGGGCTGAAGGAGAGTGGCTGGCCCAAGGTCACCCACCTGCCTCTGGTGCCTTAACTACCACACCAAACTGGTTGTTGGGATACATATTTACCAATCTGAATATAAAGAGGAATAGGCCAGACAGTGTTAGTTGCCCTTTTGGCAGCAGGGAAGAATTTAAGATTGTCAGTACAGGTGGCCCTCGACTGACAATGGTTCGTTTACTGACCGTTCAAATTTGCAACGGCGTTGAAAAAAGTGACTTATGACCATTTTTCACACTTACGACCATTGTAGCCTCCCCCTGGTCACGTGATCAAAATTCGGATGCTCGGCAACTGACTCATATTCATGATGGTTGCCGTATCCCGGGGGTCATGGGGTCAATTTTCAGGACTTTCTGAGAAGCAAAGTCAGAATGAAGATTCACTTAACCATTTTACTCATTTAGCAACTGCAGGGACTGACTTAACAACTGTGGCAAGAAAGGCCATAAAATGGGGCAAAATTCACTTAAGAATTGTCTGACTGAGCAACAGGAACTTTGGGGCTCAATCAGGTTCGTAAGTTGAGGGTTTCCTGTCCATAATTTCAGCCTGCATTGCAGATGTATCCTATCTGTTTTCAATATAATCATTATTCTTTCATTTTATGTTCTGTTTTCAGTTGACCTTTACTATGGGTCCTTCCCGAAAAGAATTCTTGGTCTTGGGCTACCTCCTTGCAGGTAAGATTTACCTTCAGTGGGATATTTTTGCCAAGTCCATCATCCACCTAGAACTAAGGAGAAATTTCCTGATAGTTAGAACAATTAACCAGTGGAACAACCTGCCTCCAGAAGTTGTGGGTGCTCCAACACTGGAAGTTTTTAAGAAGAGATTGGACAGCCATTTGTCTGAAATGGTATAGGGCAGTGGTTCTCAACCTGTGGGTCGGGACCCCATTTGGGGTCGAACGATCATTTCTTGAATAGAGTCTAATTCTATTGGCTTTCAAAAGCCAATAGGAATTGTCCAGGCTGTCTCTGCCCTGCTGAGCCCGCCAAAAGTCCCATTCTGCAAACGGTGCTGCACCAGTTGAGTAGTCCTCGACTTACGACCGGTCAAGTAGTCTTCGACTTACGACTGGTTGGGGGTTGCGGCATTAAAAAGGTTGAGAACCACTGGTATAGGGTTTCCTGCCTGAGCAGGGGGTTGGACTAGATGACCTCCAAGGTCCCTTCCAACTTCATTATTACTATTATTATTATTATTATTTGTCAGAGAGTCTCTTTGGTTAAATATATCCTGCTGGAAGAAGAAGCCTGATACTTTAGATCCCATTTGCTATCCCTTCCAGTCGATGGGGAATTGTGAGAGCTGCCCCCCATTCCAGAATTTTAGTCAGTGCCTTGAGCAAACATTCAATTTGTTTTATTCTCATTTTCATTCACCAGTGATTCTGGTCCCAGAAACAGCGTCAGAAATGTATTTATCTACTGGCATTGCATGAAAAAAAAAAAAAGCTGCTTTGATTTCTCCCATCATGCATCATTTCTCTTCCCAGAAGGGAGATCATGAGTGCAAATCTTCAAGAATGCTTAGCATGTCATACTCAGACTCAAAGACAACAAAATCTGAATTTCATACATTTTCTTGGCCAGAACTGGAAAAGCTCCACCAGGACTTTTAGAGAAAGGTGAAGTTAATAGCTGAGTTTGGCCCGGGGTAAAATATGTACTGATTTCTTTGGCAGGCACTCAATTTGCAGACAGTACATACTAAGTTCCTTGGATTTTGAGGAGAATCTGATCATCTTTTGAGCAAGAAATATGCTACCGCCAGGTCCAGTTTTGAAACTTGCAGCGTAGGAAGGTGGACATTGTGCAAAAAAAACACATTATTTTGGAAACAAATGTCATTATTTGGTCTTGACTTATACAAAATGCTTAAGCAATAATACGATAAAAACAAAGTTTAAATGAACAGGAAAGCCAAGCTTTGCAAAAAGGTATAAATTGGTCCGAAGCAAATGCCTTTACTGTGTTGCTTGTGAATGCTTCAGAACTACTTGTAATCACAATGAAGGTAGTTCTCGACTTAACAACAGTTTGTTTAGTGACCGTTTGAAGTTACACCGTGCTTTCTCTTCGTAGGGTCATGCATCATCTCCTGCCAGAGTTTGCTTCCCGCTATTCTCCCAAGTGAAGAGCAAATGGTGGTGCAGCTGAATGCCCCCTTCACTTTGAAATGTTCTGGAGACAGCGAAGTGAGCTGGCAGCATCCAGCCCCAGAAGGCAACCATTCCATCACCATCAGAAATGAAGAGAACAACAGCGGCCTTTTCGTGACCGTCCTCGAAGTGGCGAACGCATCGGCTTCCCTCACCGGATTATACATTTGTTATTATAATCATTCCCAAGAGGAAGATGGAGAAGTCGAAGGGAAAGAGATCTACATTTTTGTGCCAGGTGAGTTGACGGAGTTCAAGTCACCAGGAAGGCTTTGGGATAGAGAGGCAAGTAGCTTCCACTGGATCCCTTTGAGTTAGAGCAGGGGTAGGCCACCTTGGCTCTTTTATGACTCGTGGACTTCAACTCCCAGAATTCCTGAGCCAGCCATGCTGAGGGGAAAGGGAGAGGTTTCCAAGCTGAGCCATTGCTGGCTCAGGAATTCTGGGAGTTGAAGTCCACGAGTCATAAAGCAGCCTAGGCCAGAGGTAGGCAAACCTTGGCTCTTTTATAACTCGTGGACTTCAACTCCCAGAATTCCTGAGCCAGCCATGCTGAGGGGAACGGGATCGGTTTCCAAGCTGAGCCATTGCTGGCTCAGGAATTCTGGGAGTTGAAGTCCACGAGTCATAAAAGAGCCAAGGTGGCCTACCCCTGAGTTAGAGCAAGTGGATACTCAATGGTTCTCAATCTTTTCTTCACCACGGACCTCCTTTAAATAGCACTTAGCGATAGCACTTGTATACTGCTTCACAGTGCTTTACAGCCCTCTCTAAGCAGTTTTACAGCGTCAGCCTATTGCCCCCAGCAATCTGGGTCCTCCTTTTACCAACCTCAGAAGGATGGAAGGCTGAGTCAACCTTGAGCCGGTCAGGATCGAACTGCCAAACTGGTGGCAGCCGCAGATAGCAGAAGTAACCTGCAGTACTGCATTCTAACCACTGTGCCACGTTTCGTTTCTCATCCCAGAAGCTTCTGCGGGATGTTTTCTGCCCTGTGTCCCTTCACTGAAATCCTTCCATTCCCCACCATCCAGTCAGAGCTGAAGAAGCTTCTGAGATGAGAAGTGAAATGTCTTCAAAGAAAAACAAGACAGTCCAGTTGCCTCATGAAAAAGCACCTTTGTCTCAAAGTTCTTGTTTGGTTATCCTAGGGCAGGGGTAGGCAACCTTGGCTCTTTTATGACTCGTGGACTTCAACTCCTTGGCTCTTTTATGACTCGTGGACTTCAACTCCCAGAATTCCTGAGCCAGCCATGCTCAGGGGAAAGGTTTCCATGCTCAGCTATGCTGGCTCAGGAATTCTGGGAGTTGAAGTCTGCGAGTCATAAAAGAGCCAAGGTGGCCTACCCCTGTCCTAGGAAATGGGAGATTGGACTAAGGTAGGCGTGCACTGCTTTGGCTGACTTGAGAATGTCAGCAGACTTTGGACAGCATATTGAAATGGTTGATTATGTGCCATCAAATTGGTGTCAGTTGTTAACGACCACATAGGTTATGTTCCCAACTTGATCCTTCTAAGTCCATCAATGGTACATTAATCATTGCTGTAATTAACTCCATTCCCCTTGTGGCTGTCTTCCTCTTCTTATATTCCTGCTGTCTTTCCTAACATTAGAGGACTATGTCTTTGCAGAAATGGGTCCGAAGTAGGATAATTTGAACCTGGTCACTTGTAATACGGATGAAAATTCTGGCTTGTTTTGCTTGATGATCCATTTGTTTGTTTCCCTGGCCTTTCCTGGCATTCTCAGGATTTTTTTTTTCTGACACCAAAGTTCAATACTCATTCAAAGTCAATATTCCGCTTTTCAAAGTTCAACTTTGGCTTCCATAGAGCTTCACCTTTTGACTTATGATGTCCCACAAACTGTGCTCTGGCTCTGGCTATAAGAGTGCCCTCATCTTAGCCAAAGATGGAAAAATTTCAGTCCCAGAATTAGGACAAAACTGCCTTGCTGGAGCTGAGTTGAATGCTCTTCTTCCCTAACCAGACCCACACAGTTTTCAGACACTATGACCAAACCTCAGCGGTGTCACTTGATCAGCCTGGGGTAGATATATACACAACTGAGTATGATCAGTATACTGGTGATGCTGCACGCCATGTTGATGGATGACCTTTTCCATGACTTCATATATACTAGATCAGTGGTTCTTAACCTGGGCGATATTGCCCCCCAGAGGGCGATTTCATTTTTCAGGGGGGCGATGGGATGAAAAGGAGCGATGCGGGGGCAAAGGAACGAAAAGGGGGAGATAAGGGGGCGATGGAGCGAGAAGTTTTGGGGACACTTTTGAGACTTTTTTGTGCAGTGAATCGCTGTATATCTGTCGTACAAAAACATCTGATTGCTCGCTATTAGTGGATTGAATTGTGTTTTCAAACGTTCCTCCAGCTAGCTTCAGTACAGAACGCCGTACATATGTGAAGATGCATCGCTTATCTTCGTTCGCGCAGCGCAGCAGCCTCTACCCATACAGTGGCACGCCGTTGGCCAGAATATGGGAGATATGGGGAAAAAACTGGAAATAAATTATTTGCATCGATATGTCCTGATGACAATTTTAAAGAAAACAAAAAAAGTGTTTGCATAAATTGAAGAATTATTTCCTATGTTGTGATTGAGAGGTTATGTTGGGGGAGGGGGGCGATGACAACTTCCTTATTGGCTCAAGGGGGCGATTCCTTCAAAAAGGTTAAGAACCACTGACCTAGATGACAAACAGAGCTTGGGTGAAATAGGAGCTTTAAGCATTTGCAAGGTTTTGTCTGTTTAATGCAGGGGTGTCAAACTCAATTTTATTGAGGGCCGCATCAGCATTGCTGTTGCCCTTGGGGGGGCCAGGTGGGTGTGGCCAGGGTGGGTGCAGCCTACTGGGTGGGCGTGGACAGAGTGGGTGTGGCCTACTGGGTGGGCATGGCCAGCTCTACATCGTTTGCGTCAAGGGTGCCTGTGGGGGGCTGGGCAGGAGTGGGACAGATCTGAGGGTCTCTGGCAGAAGGGGGTGGGACCGGGGCAAGCACCAAGGCATGGTGCATTTCTTCATTCCTCACAAAGGGTGACACCTCCCCAGCATGCACCCAGGGGGTGGGGCCAGTGCAACGGGCTGGTTCCTCGCTGTTTCTGGACGGCCTTGTGGAACTAAGACTGAATATGTTTCAGCATAGATGGCCACCACAAAATTGTACATTGGCTCCCGGCCGGCTTGGGCCAGGGCCAAGGAAGCAGGGGTCGTTCTCTCATTGTTTCCAGGGTGCGTTCGCGGGCCACATGAAACCACTTCGCGGGCCACATCCGGCCTCCGGGCCTTGTGTTTGACATGTCTGGTTTAATGTCTCTGTGGAGATACTGGGAGAAGTTATCTGACACGTTAGGAGGAGATATCATCAAGATACTCATGATATCCAGCTTTACACCCATCCCAGGCCCTCTGAGAAATGTGGTGGAAGTTCTGGAGGCTGTCAAGGACTGAACGGGGAAAAACAAGCTACTCAACCAAGCAAGAAAGAATGGCTTTTAATTCAGATTCCATGAGTATTCTAAGTTTCCAACTTTGATTATCAGTTGAGTTGGACTCCCCTGGAGGGAACAGGTTCACAGTCTGGGGTCTTCCAGGATACCCATCTGCTACTAAAGGATTAAGTGGAAAGCCAGATAGAAGCTTTAGCTAGTGTGCAGTTGAGTTTTACTTGGAATAGAATGTGCTAAGGACAGAATCTTTGGCCACCTAATGAGAAGGAAAGACTCCCAGGAGAAGGGCCTAATGCTGGGAAAGATTGAGGGCAATAGAAGAAGAGGATGACAGAGAATGAGGTGGCTGGATGGAGTCACTGAAGCAGTAGGTGTGAACTTAAATGGACTCCAGAAGATGGTAGAGGACAGGAAGGTCTGGAGGAACGTTGTCCATGGGGTCGCAATGGGTCGGACACGGCTTCGCAATTAACAACAACAACAAGGACAGAATCATTCTTTGACCATCTCTTAGTTAGATTACTACTATTCATTCCACATGGGACCTCTGAAGAGGATCAGCCAGAGATGTCTGGCAGTCAGAATCCAATGGTCAACATGCTAACTGACCAGACATTTTTTTGCCACATTACACTGCTGTTATGAGAGCTGCTTTGGTTACCGTTGTGTTTCTGAGTATAGTTCAAAGTCCTGAATGCTATTTTTAAAAATTCAACATGGCTGGATTTCTGACAGACTGTCTATCTCAGGTAGATTTTGCCTTCATGATAATCCATGTGTCTCCCAAGGGTTCCCACCTTCTAATTATGGCTGAAAAGACTCAACCCTGGTTGTTCTCTGTGTGACTTCTCCTTCCACAGAAATGTCATCACATTAGTTTGTTTAGGGTGGCATCAGTTCGGCTAGGTAAGAGAAAGATCAAATGGAATAAACTCATATTATTGTACGGCACATGGGATGCAGGCTGGAGATTGAATCTATTAACGTATGTATTTATTCCTCTAACCCAGGAGTCTTCAACTTGGCAACTTTAAGACTTGTGGACTTCAACTCCCAGAATTCCTCAGCCAGCCCTGGCTGGCTGAGGAATTCTGGGAGTTGAAGTCCACAAAAGTCTTAAAGTTGCCAAGATTGAAGACCCCTACTTTCTAACCCGATTGATGCATCAGAGTATCTCTTTCTCAACAGATCCAGCTGTTCCCTTTGTTCCAACCTCCCCAGAAGATTTGTTCATCGTTGCCAGCGAGGAAGACAATTCTTCCATTATCCCATGTCGCACGACTGACCCTAACACTCAAGTCACTCTAATGAACAGAGAAGGAAAAATTCTGTACGCCTCGTACGACAACAGGCTGGGCTTCATTGGAAACTTCTCTTTGGGGTCCTACATATGCAAGACCACTGTCAGAGCCGTTAACTTTGAGTCTGGCGAATTTTTCATCTATGTTTACAAAGGTACATCGTGTATTTTTCAGTTGACATGGATAAATGACAGGTTTTGAGTCTCCTTCGATGCTTTGCGAAAGGGTCCAATTGCCTCTAGTTCAGTGGTTCTCAACCTGTGGGTCGGGACCCCATTTGGGGTCGAACGACCATTTCACGGGGGTCGCCAAACAACGCAGTCCACCATTTTTTCCCCCTTTTCCTTAGCTGTGCTACTCCCTTTTATTCTATTGGTGTTTGAAAGCCAATTGAATAGACCAGTGGTTCTCAACCTTTTTAATGCCGCGACCCCCCAACCGGTCGTAAGTCGAGGACTACTCAATTGGTCATAAGTCGAGGACTACTCAACTGGTGCAGCACCGTTTGCAGAATGGGACTTTTGGCAGGCTCAGCAGGGCAGAGACAGCCTGGACAATTTGTATTGGCTTTTGAAAGCCAATAGAGTTAGACTCTATTCAAGAGAGTCTATTCTGTTGGCTTTCAAAAGCCAATAGAATAAAAGGAGTAGCACAGCTAAGGAAAGGGGGGAAAATATGGCGGACTGTGTTGTTTGGCGACCCCTGTGAAATGGTCGTTCGACCCCAAATGGGGTCCCGACCCACAGGTTGAGAACCACTGGAATAGACCCTCTTGAATAGAGTCTAATTCTATTGGCTTTCAAAAGCCAATAGGAATTGTCCAGGCTGTCTCTGCCCTGCTGAGCCCGCCAAAAGTCCCATTCTGCAAACGGTGCTGCACCAGTTGAGTAGTCCTCGACTTACGACCGGTTGAGTAGTCCTCGACTTACGACCGGTTGGGGGTCGCGGCATTAAAAAGGTTGAGAATCACTGCTCTAGTTAAAGAAACGGTCGTCTTCTAAGTACAGATTTAATTCTCACATGGCTACAGAAAAATAACTCCCCAAAAGACAGATGGAAAAGAGAGACCGAATGGGCTGTTATATAGGGCGAGCAAGGGAAAGGGGCAAAAAGGTTTGAATTTTTATTTTATAGAAAGAAATGCAATTATTGGAATAATCTACTTAATGGATTTCTAACTTCAATAAAATGTACTTATCGGAAGTCTGGAAGTTCTCTGAACTTGGCTAGTTGGTTCCAGTCTTGTCTATCAATTGAAGGCAAGCCATCTTTTGTCATGTGGCTTGTTGGGCATAAATAATCCACCTCTGGCCTAATGGTAGGATTAGCTATGTGGTTAGACCAGGGGTCTTCAAACTTGACAACTTTAAGACTTGTGGACTTCAACTCCCAGAATTCCTCAGCCAGCCCCAGAAGTTGAAGTCCACAAGTCTTAAAGTTGCCAAGTTTGAAGACCCCTGGGTTAGACCAGCAACCGACTACCAGCCCCCTGCTAAGACCTTGAGTGTAGCCTCCAGAATTTCCTAACCTTCACTTATGCCTGTGGGTGTGCTTCCCTCCCCATTGCTTCCCATTTGCCCTACAGATTTTCTTTCCTTTCTTCCTAATTTCCAGTTTCCATTCTTCTCAACTTCTAAATGTCTGATAAATGTGTTTCTGACAAACATTCATCGTTAGATGTTGGCACAATTAGAACTCGGTGATCATTCTGGCAGGTTGTACAGATGAAAATTAAGTTTTATTGGAGAATTTAACATTGGGGTAAATAATTTATTCTGAACACCGTTGGGAAGGGGGAATCAATAGATTTTAAAAGTAGAAGGACAAGGATAGTTTTGTTTGTTATGTGTTAATGCATCTGTTATTTTGCCCCGAATTCATGATTCTGGGTAGTGTACAAGAATCTCAATGACAATCTTGCCAGATAAGTCACAATATCAATAAAAGCAATCAAAACATTAGGAAAGGCTACCTTCTTTCCTCACTATGTATATGGCATTGTGGCTGCGTTCACACCACCCACTGGACCTGGTTACTGAATTCATCCATTTCTTATATTTGGATAATACATTGACTTATAAACTCAAAAGTTCATATATGTGCCAGATCCCACTGAAGGTTAATATTAACTCCAGTATATTGAGTTTATTGTTCAGATGCAAGCCTTTAACAAACCTGATTGTACTGAGATAACAATTTATGGGTAAATTTAGTTTGTGCTAAACAATCCCACTTCGACAAAGGCCATCACCCCTCTGCTTGTCTTGTATGCAATTTGCAACACGTTTCTTTTGGAATTTCATCTGGAAAAATTTGTGTACAGATAGTTCGTTGACTCACGACCACAACTTAGCCTGACATTTCTGTTGCTAAGTGAGACATTTGTTAAGTAAGTTTTGCCCCATATTATGACCTTTCTTGCCACAGTTGTTAAGTGAATCACTGCTGTTGTTAAGTTAGTAACATGGTTGTTAAGTGAATTTGGTTTCCCTATTGCCTTTGCTATCAGAAGGTTGCAAACGGTGATCACATGACCCCAGGACGCCGTAACTGTCATACATATGAGTCAGTTACCAAGCACGTGAATTTTGATCATGTCATTGTGGGGTTACCGCAACAGTCATAAGTGTGAAAAATGGCCATAACTCACTTTCTTCAGTGCTGTTGTGACTTTGAATGTTCACTAAATGAACTGTTGTAAATCGAGGACTATCTGTATTCCCTCATTCAGGCAGATTGAGGATGAGTCTTGAGGCACCAGGTGCTGGGAGGAGAATAATTGAGACAACAGTGTGCCCTGTTCCACATCTGCAACTAGATTCCTGCTTTTGAATCCAAAAGAGGACTCTGTTCCATCCTTTTAATGATTCAAATATGTTATTTATTTTATAGAGCAAATGGGATGCAGAATTCTATTCGTTCTTTGAACTCAGAAAACCCCAAATGCCCTGAATTGGCCCCATAAATGACAGTTGAAAATACTACGATTTAGTTTAACAAATTTCTTCCCACCACGTCGTTAATGTTGATGTTCTCCTTAATATACAGAGAAAAATAAGGCATTCAAGGGAATGATGTTCTATGCATATTATTTCCTTAAAATGTTTAATCCTCTTCCAGCTCCATCATACCTTCATGTTGAAATTGAGTCCCCCAAGACTGTATATAAAACAGGAGAAACCATTATCGTTACTTGTGTGGTCTTGGATAATGAAGTGGTGAACCTAGAGTGGAATTATCCGGGGAAAGTGGTAAATATCCCTTTTTGTTGTTGACTAAATGGCTGGAGGATACCGTGGGTGGGGCTTTAATTCCGTATTTTTAAAAAGAAAACGTCCGGATAAAAACATTTGAAAGAAAGGCCAATTGTTAAATGTATTTGCTTGGTCAACTGTCAAGATTTAATGGTTAGCAAGCATGCAGAGCTTTGCAAAATGTTATGGGGAGATGAGTAACATATGAGTTTGACAGGAAGTGGGAGAAGAAGAATAATAACACTTCCACAAACCTGGAAAATATAATACAACAAAAATGGTTTTTGTATAGTTGCTCACATGTTACACTTCTGCTGATGAAAGAACATGATTATTTGCAAATGTCTTTAAGTCATAATCCAAAGCAGACTTCTCTAATCTTGTCTCTTCCTAAAGTTTTGGACTCTCCAACCCACAGAACTAATAACTAACTAATAACTATATTGTCACTTTGAATCTACACCGATCGGCATACGTTAAAATGAAATTCCGTTGCATACAGCTCTCAAAGGGTCACCACCTCCGATATACACTACATAAATAGGACAAAAACAAACAAATAAATAAACACAGAATTAGGCATATACCCACATATATTACATGACACAGAGAAACAACACAGACTAGTTGAGCCGAGGTGGCGCAGCAGTTAGAGTGCAGTACTGCAGGCCACTGTAGCTGACTGTGTTCAGCAGGTCAGCGGTTCAAATCTCACCGGCTCAAGGTTGACTCAGCCTTCCATCCTTCCGGGGTAGATAAAATGAGGACCCAGATTGTTGGGGGCAATGTAAATATATATATATATATAATATATATATATATATATAATATATATTATATATATAGCTGCTCGAAGCACGAAGCTGAAAACACCAGCCTGAAGATGACGAATGGGACTTCGTCAAAACGTCGCCAAGACACTTCCAATTTTACGCGGGAGAAAACCCGAACAACCAAAGACCTACATATATATACATTGCTTACTTGGTGTACACCGCTTAAAGAGTGCTTGCACTTAAAGCGGTATATAAGTCTCATAAATAAATAAATAGTTCAGGTTATGTATATGTGTGCATGGCGAGAAAAACAAATTTTGTGAGTTTACCCAGAAGGATGGCATAGGGAACAAAGCTATTAACAGAATCGGGTAGTCCTGCTATAAATACTTCGAAACCTCCTCCCAGAGGGAAGCAACAGAAACAGACCATAAAGTGAGTGTGTGGGGTCTCTAACAAGGCTTTGAGTTCTAAGCAGATAGCGCTTATAAGCAGCATCTTGAATAAGAGGAAGCGAGCTTCCTATAATTTTCTTGGCTGTCCTTACCACTCTCTGTATGGACCTTCTATCTGAGGCACTACTGCCACCAAACCAGACAGTGATGCCGTTTGTTAAGATGCTCTCAGTCGTGCCTCTGTAAAAAGTGGTCAGGACAGAAGGAGAAAGATGTGCTCTCCTCATCCGACGCAAGAAATGTAGACGCTGGTTTGCACGCTTCACTAAGGATGACGTGTGGAGAGACCAATTCAGATTGTTAGTTGTCTGCACCCCCAGATACTTAATACTGATGACCATCTCTACAGCTGCATCCTTGATAATGAGTGGAGTATAGTGGAGTATGACTATGCCGGCTCTTTCTGAAAATCTACAATGATCTCCTTTGTTTTATCAACATTTAAAACCAGGTTACTTTTATTGCACCAGTCGACTAGAGCCTTCACCTCTTCTCTTCTTTTTTTCTTTTTCCAATAATTTTATTAAAGATTATATTATACACATAAAACTAACACAGCTAGACTTGCAGTTCTCAAGGTTTTCAATCATATATAGCTGCCTAATGTGCAAGCAGCTGATGAAAGCTAAGGAGCTCGAAATAGCTATACCAGCTTCCCTTTAACTCTTTGTTAGCAATCCAAATATATATATGTGTGTGTGTGTATGTATGTATGTGTGTATGTGTATGTGTATATATATATATATATATATATATATATATATATATATACACACACATATACACATATATATATATATATATATATATATATATATATATATATACACATATACTGTGTGTGTGTGTGTGTGTGTGTGTGTGTGTGTATACACCTGAGGTTTTCGCGGGTGTTTGTATGTAGGTCTTTGGTTATTCGGGTTTTCTCCCGCGTCAAATTGGAAGTGTCTTGGCGACGTTTTGACGAAGTCTCATTCGTCATCATCAGGCTGGTGTTTTCGTTTTCGTCTTCGTGCTTCTAGGAGCAATGTGTGATCATAGCTGTTTCTTTCTTTTAACTGCCAGTGGGGGTATGAACTGATTGGGTGAGAGCCTGGCTGTGTTCTGTGTTCTCACATCCCCCTGCAACTCAGACTAACCTGAGCACAACAAAGCCCCCACCCAAACAGAACACTCCCCCATCTAATTAGAGCACAACCAACCCCCCATCCAATCAGAGCACAGCCAAGCTCCTAACCAATCAGAACACACCTCCACCCAATCAGAACACAGCCAGGCTCTCACCCAACCAGTTCATACCCCCACTGGCAGTTAAAAGGAAGAAACAGCTATGATCACACATTGCTCCTAGAAGCACAAAGCCGAAAACACCAGCCTGAAGATGATGAATGAGACTTCGTCGAAACGTCGCCAAGACACTTCCAATTTGACACGGGAGAAAACCCGAATAACCAAAGACCTATATATATATATATATGCAGGAAGTTTTTCAGACAGATGTCTAATTGATTACACCTTGACATTTTTTTTTAACTGCTATACTGCAGTTTTACTTTTTTTACAATCTCTTTTGCCTTCCAGCCCCCAACTAGGGGCGTTAAGCAGGCTCAAGTCGCAACTGCGAAACATTACAAATCCAAATTTCTTTTTCTGACAAAGAATTAAAGAATTAAAGAGAGCAGACTTTGGCTTGCTTATAAGAGACTCTCTCACTACCTGGCGTCTTAAGCCCTGAGGATGCCGGCAGGTGACGGCGAAAGCTTGGCGATTTTAAATTAAATTAAACTTTTATGGTTTTATCACCCTGGTGCTCATCTTATTTTAAATATGAATATTCCCAGGGTTCATATTTTTAGTGTTATTAACCATATATATATATATATATATATATATATATATATATATATATATATATATATATATATATATATACTTAATATTTTATCAGCAACACATTGTCTAGGTTCCAACAATTAACTAATACATGTTAAATTCCTCTTCTCTTCTTAATTAGACATCTGTGACACCACCTAATTAGACACCTTTGACAAATATGGAATCCAGAATGGGGCTTCCTCTGAAAATCCTTGGGTACACGGAGACCGATGAGATAGCATAATATTTTCGGTAGATGTCTTATTTTAAAAAGATTTCTGTCTTGACTATCTGTTCCATTCCCTCTCTCCCATGTGCAGAAGAATAAAGGAATAATCTCCCTTGACGACATCAAAGTTCCAGCTCAGAAGCTGATTTATAATTTAACCATTCCAGATGCATCAGTGAAGGACAGCGGAGATTATGAATGTGCTGTTAGACACGTGACTAAAGATTTTAAGAAAATGGAAAGGATTGCCATCTACGTTCACGGTAGAGCCTGTTTCTCCTTTTCACGCTATGATTGCTCATGAGAATGGCAACAAAGGTGGTCATGGAACTATTGTCTTCCTACAGATAAAGGGTTCATTCATTTGGAGCCCCATTTCAAGCCCGCGGAGGCCGTCAATCTACACGAAGTCAAAAACTTTGTAATTTATGTCTATGCATATCCAGAGCCAAGGTTGTTTTGGCTAAAGGACAACGTCACACTGATGGAGAATCTCACAGAGATTGTAACCAGTTCCAAGCAAATCCAAGAAACCAGGTAAAGGAACTAGCCTGTCATGGATTGGTGGTTTCTTCACCACTGAACCCACCATTTGGGAAACAAGGTTTCTTCTCAAAAATTATTTATTCTCCTCACGGAATAATCTTCATTCCAGGATACACCTCTCTGAAAATTTTCCCTAGTTCTCAGTCTATAGTCCAAGGGTAGGCAACCTTGCCTCTTTTATGACTTGTGGACTTCAACTCCCAGAATTCCTGAGCCAGTATGGCTCAGCTTGGAAACCTCTCCCTTTCCCCTCAGCATGGCTGGCTCAGGAATTCTGGGAGTTGAAGTCCACCAGTCATAAAAGAGCCAAGGTTGCCTATGTTTGATCAATGATTTTGTCTTTGTCAAAAGATATGCTGGAGGTTCTCAAGAAAAGATTGCATAACCCTTTGTCCAGAACGATATAAGGTTTCCTACTATGGTCAGGGGTTTGGATTAAAAGACCTCCAAGGTCCCTTCTAACGCTATGATTCTAAGATGAAGTATTGGTTGAACACAACATAGAATAATTCTGGTTTATTCCTTGTTTCTTTGTTGGTCAGTGCCAGGTAGACATAAATTGTTAACCCTTTTCGTTCGAAATCATTGCAAATACTGACCCTATAATATACCCACCACCTGTCTATAATCTGAACCTTCCATTCCCACAATCCTTGTTTTCTTCCCCTTCTGCTCTATCTTTCACTGTAACAGCAATTAAACCAGTTCCAAATCTCATGTTTATTGTTTGTATAATCAATCTGCTGCCTGTGTTCTGAATCAGACTATAAGTCCCCAAACCTCCAATTTTCTTTGGTTGAAAAGAAGTAAGGCCAGTGATCTTAACTCTTGTCAGTAGTAAAAACGGGATATAAATGTTATAAATTGATTTAGGATCAGAGAGAAGAGGTACTTCAGAATTGTGGCATTTGGGTCTAAGTGAGTCTTTTCGGATACATATATTTTGGTCTCCATTAAAATAATGATTTGCTTCCTGCTGTGCTGTGCTATTTTTTTTTAATCACGTTTTTTTAAAATTATTCTCACAGATATCAGAGTGTATTAAAATTAATTCGTGCCAAGGAAGAAGACAGTGGATATTATACACTGGTAGCACAGAATGAGGACGAAATTCAAAGATACACTTTCTCCCTGCTCATACAAGGTAAACCTGTAAAAGGGGACAAGCCAACATTACACACATCACACGGGAAGCACATGAGGTATAAATATAACATATCGTCTGACGGGTAAATGTAATATTGAGGAACAGCTTAGAATGCCAGATCAGCTATGAAGGCCACTGGTAACACACATCTCAAAATTCTTTTTTTTATTAATTTTTTTAAAAAAATTTACAATATAAACCCTCCCATCCCTTCCCCCCCTCCCCCACTTCCCAGAGCTGATTACAGGGTGACAAATAAACAAACATAATCTATCTAACATAAACCAATTACCGAATATGCCGGCGTATAAGGCGACCCGGCGTATAAGACCCCCGTCTTCGGCGCCAAGTCGCATGCCTAGAAAGTCGTCTTATACGCTGGAAACTACCAGTATTTCCGGCGTATAAGACGACTCGGCGTATAAGACGACCCCCGACTTCGGCGCCGATTTTAACGCAAAAGTCGTCTTATACGCCGGAATATACGGTATACTATCAAACAAAACCATAACGCACTTTAACTCCTTTTCAAAACAAATATTAACAAATTAAAACAAAAATAATAATATAATTAAAACTATTAATAATTATCTAACATCTACACGTATGTAAGATAATACTTATCAGTTTCACATTTCTTTTGAATATAATTAATCCACCTTCTCAATTCTTGTGATGATCAAATAAAAGAAAACCCTCCTTTGTGCAACTTATTTGAAGAGGGATTGAAGTTTCACTTTAGTAACACATTGAAGCAGGAAGGTCAGAAAAGAAAAAAAAATAGATGGGTATAGATCAGGGATAGGCAACCTTGGCTCTTTTATGACTCGTGGACTTCAACTCCCAGAATTCCTGAGCCAGCAATGGCTCAGCTTGGAAACCTCTCCCTTTCCCCTCAGCATGGCTGGCTCAGGAATTCTGGGAGTTGAAGTCCACAAGTCATAAAAGAGCCAAGGTTGCCCACTTCTGGTATAGATGAACTGGTATAAATAGTGCTTCTGAAATTCAGCCAGTAACTTAGCAAATTATGTAGGAAAATAGTGCTTGCTTGCTGATACTGGTGGATGATAGTCTGGGAATTATTTCAGTCAACATACTTCAACATCTGCTGTGCCTGGCTGAAAAGCAGATGTGGTCCCATCCATGAGGTTTTAATTTGGAGAGAGGAAGGGGCACATTAAAGGGATAAGGAATGGCAGAGCAAAATAAGCATTTAGCGCAGAACTTACCCTGATGACCATGTTTAAGGAAGAAATTTGGAAAGAGTTCATAGAGATCTGTTTCCATTCAGTGCTATCAGATAATGTTTTATTTACTTGCGTCCTTAAAAAGGGCTTCAATTAATTGGCTCGTAGATTGTAAATGTTTTTGTACAACTTGCAGATGGTAAATGCTGCTTTAGGAGAGCGTTTCTCTTTGACGTGGAGAGAAGTGTATTAATTTTTTATCACAGGATCTGTAATAACAATGCATAATGCTTTAGCTAAAATCAGAAAGTTCCTTTTGCTTCTGAATGCTTGGATTTATACATTTGTAAAATGAACTGATTGGGAAACTGACTGTTAATGGCCATTTTGTGACTTCTATGGGAGGATCATTTGCTATTCATACTGATTAGATTTACTGTAAAGTTCTCGATGTGTATCAAGGTAAATCTTTAAATAAATAAATGATTCAGAGAACTGCTGTAGGCTTCAATTAGTAAATAAGGAATTGTTTTCACTATGGCAAACTCCCATGATAGAAAATAAAAAAAATCTTTTTGGATTAAAAAAAAAACTTTCTCTGGTAAATGACACTTATATTGAAGTTCTGGTAATACTGCATGTCAAATGACTGAAATAATTTAATGTTCTGATTATTTATCAAGTAATAATGAGCATTGGCAGCCTAAATTCTGAGATAAGAAATGCTTTGTTAAGATTGAAAATTGAATTAGCTGATTTTAAGTTGAAATAGTCAGTTTAAGTCTTGATTCCTCACATTTTTTTCAGAGAAATATGGGTGCAGAAGACTTGTTAAATACAATATCTTATCCAGCTGCCTATACCAGGGGTAGGCAACCTTGGCTCTTTTATGACTCAGGGACTTCAACTCCCAGAATTCCTGAGCCAGCATGGCTCAGCTTGGAAACCTCTCCCTTTCCCCTCAGCATGGCTGGCTCGGGAATTCTGGGAGTTGAAGTTCACAAGTCATAAAAGAACCAAGGTTGCCTACCCCTGGCCTATAGTGTATTATGGTCAAAATGGCCCCAGATATTCTGTATCCAGAACATTGCTGACTCTTTAGAGACTGTTTGCAGTTACAGTGGTAACGAACAAGTAACCAGTCTTCGCATTTATAACCTTTGCAGGTCTGTAAAGCAAAGGAAAGCTGAAGTCAAATCATAAGCACAGTCCTGGTTTCACTTGGTGGCTGCTTTGTTTACTGACCAAGCTGTTTGTCCCAATTTTGCTATGCTAAAAGAGGACTACACATAAACTATCAGTAGCTTGATCTCCTATCAATGATCTTCATGGTAGTGATTTCCATATATACTAGATTTCAGCTCTCATGAGTTGCAAGCATTCTGTTGTGCCACATTGGCTGAGACCAAGGGAAGTTCAACAGATCCCAAACCCACCAGATTCAGCTTGTGACTATGTTTAGTTGGGGCTACCTCTGGGAAAATGTGCAGTGTATTGCCATCTAGTACTGCAATCTTCCTACTTAGAAGTAACTTATGGTGAACTACTCTCCTTTTAGGCAAGCAATCACAGAACTGCATGATAGGGTCAAATTTATATGGATGTCTAATTAAACTTCATCTCACTTGAGTTAAGAGAAAAGTATTTCAGGTAAATAAGCATAGATAATTCATATAATGCAGGAGACTATCCTGTCTCAGGGAACACAAGCCTCCCCCCCCCCCAAAAAGGCCTCCATTTCTGAAGCTGCATTTCCTCAAGAAACAACTGTGTCTGCCAGGCAGATGTGAATTCAAAAATAGTCTGGCTCCGAAGAAACCAGCTCCAGCAGACAAACTTCTTACATGCTCTTCCCAATTTATCCCTTTCCAGTTCCAGCTTTAATTCGGGACCTGGTAGATAATCACCACGGCTCTGTTGGGCAGACAGTCAAATGTTTGGCAGAAGGGACACCCCTCCCCGATGTGGAATGGCTGGTTTGCAAGGACATTAAGAAGTAAGGCCTTTGATTTTGGCTGCCTTGTGTGGCTTTAGCTGGCTGGTATAACGACATGTTTACTACATCCTTTTCATAATATATATGTTCCTCAACTGGGCGCCTTCCAGTTTGTATTGCATTTCAATTCCCATAACTCCGAAACTGGGAGTCATTTATTAGCTAACAATAAAGTAGTAATACAAAATGGCAATGGACAGTCAGGATAGAGAGTGGCTAAAGGATTATGGGAGTTGAAACCATTTGAAAATACGTTTGGACATCGCTGAGGTAAAGATTGCAGATTTGGGAGTGGGAATACCATTTATATTGATTAAAATGCCTCTTGAATTTTTAATTTGGGTGCAGTCAATGTATTGTTAAATGTGTGAATGCATATAACGTATTTTTAAACAACCCAAGAGACAAGATTTCCTAAACAGAGTTGGACTAACAGCAATGGTTAATCATTTCTCTTACACGATGTCTACTCAACAACTATTGTTTTCTTCCTTATAGAAACAGATACCCCTTGTGTGTTGGAGTGATATATAATTTAAAACCCAAAATTAGTAATAAGTCAACCTTATGAACTGCATCTAACAATATTTCCTAAGCTTAAGTTTTGTGTGAAAAGCATGCTATAAATCTGTCAAACCCTTTGGAATGAAGGATAAAAGCTGAGATTTGTCCATGTACATCAGTGGTTCTCAACCTTTTTAATGCCACGACCCCCAACCGGTCGTAAGTCGAGGACTACTTAACCGGTCATAAGTCGAGGACTACTCAACTGGTGCAGCACCGTTTGCAGAATGGGACTTTTGGCGGGCTTAGCAGGGCAGAGACAGCCTGGACAATTCCTATTGGCTTTTGAAAGCCAATAGAATTAGACTCTATTCAAGAGAGTCTGTTCTATTGGCTTTCAAAAGCCAATAGAATAAAAGGGAGTAGCACAGCTAAGGAAAAGGGGGAAAAAAATGGCGGACTGCGTTGTTTGGCGACCCCCGTGAAATGGTCGTCCCGACCCACAGGTTGAGAACCACTGATGTACATGGAACCATTCTTAATACTCCTGAAATGTTGTTGTGATATTAATAAATGTTCAAAGAAAATTTTGATGCTGCTTGGGTATGTCCCGATGCACGTCAAGGTATTTGTTCACTAAATAGTCTTCAGTAAAGGAAGACTTTTTTGGGGCGGGATCAATCAAAAAGCGATTTCTCTCTAGATGCAACAATGACACCTCATGGACCCTCCTGACCAACAATATCTCTGACGTTACGGTGGAGACTCATCTTGATGAGAGGAACATGGTAGCCAGCCAGGTGACTTTTCAGAAGGTGGAAGACATCATGGCTGTTCGATGTATGGCTAAGAATGACCTTCGTACTGTTACAAGAGAACTAAAGCTTGTGGCTCCTAGTAAGTTAATTTTTTTTGATTTTATGTTAATTAGTTTAACTTAGAAGACTTTCACCTGTTTAGACACCCAATCAAATGTATTAAGGCAGCGTCCCCCAATCTTTTGGGCACCAGGGACCGGTTCCATGGAGTGAGGTTTTTCCACGGACCGGAGGGGGCGTGGTTTCGTGTGCTGTCTGCATCCCGCGGATGGGGCTTTGCTTATTTATGCGGACCGGTTGCTGGCATGCCGTGGACCGGTGGCGGTCCACAAACCGGGGGTTGGGGACTCTGTTTTAAGGTAATGGTAACTTATTATTCAGAGCCAACGTGTGGAGTTTTCATGAGTATTTTAAATACAGATAACCCACAAATGAGCCCCAAATTTCTGTTCCTAAGCAAGACAATTGTTAAGTGAGTTTTGCCCCATTTTAGGACCTTTCTTGCCACAGTTGTTAAGTGAATCACGGCAGTTACTAAGTTAGTAACAGGGTTGTTAAGTCAATCCCCATTGTCTTTGTTTGTCAGAAGGTCGCAAAAGGGGATCACGCAACTGCACTGCAAACTTGTCATAAATATGAGCCAGTTGCCACGCAGCTGAATTTTGATCACGTGACCATGGGGATGCTGCAATGGACATAAGTGTGAAAAACGGTCATAAGTCACTTTTTTTCAATGCCGTTGTAACTTTAAATGGTCACTAAATGAATAGTTTATGAATTCGAGGACTACCTGTTTTGCAATCTGTCTCATTTGAAGCAGTATGACAGTTGTACTTAATGAGGGACAATTCCTATACTGTGGGCAAATTTCCATAAGATAACTTTGTTTAGAGTTATGGTAGAAAGCAGGGTTCTTCAAACTTGGCCCTTTTATGACTTGTGGACTTCAACTCCCAGAATTCCTCAGCCTGGCTTAGGAATTCTGGGAGTTGAAGTCCACAAGTCATAAAAGGGCCAAGTTTGAAGAACCCTGGTATAAAGGAAAAATCTGTCTCCATTACCTTTGCCCAGCTGATTTAGTTGACTGATAACTTTTATTTATTTATATATTAAAGAAATATGTATGTGACTGTCCAACTCACGGTGACTCCTGGCAACTTAAAGGAATAAGCCCCGTATACAAAATGCAATACATCCCACACACCCTGGCAATAGCGTTTATCTATTTATTATAAATATTTATCTTTTCATTGGCTTTTTAGACACCTACAATTCTCTTTTAATCTTATCTTAATTTATATTATTTGCTGCTTTCAACACTGTTTGGTAGAAAAGCGTAAAAATATCTTCCAGAAACAAATTCTGACAGGTCATTAAAAAACATCTTCATTTCCCAAATGCTAGACTACATTTGTTCAAAACAAAAGCAAACAGTCAAAAAGCAGTAGATGGGGAATTATGGCAGACTGAAAACAATTTCTGCTTACTGTTCATATCAGTGCTGTACTAAAACTTCTGAAACTTTAGCTGGCACAGTATGAAGATTCTAAGTTTAGAATCTCAGAATTTGTTTTTAGAAAAGTAGAAGAAATATTGATATGAGACTTTAATCTCAAACAAGAGAACATCAACATAACAGATGCACATAGATTAAAAATGAGAGCTCAATTCAGCTAAAATTAAGTACTTAATTAGTTCTCATGTAGGTATTAAATAATTGCCAAAATTAAGTATTACTTCTGAAAGAGAATACTTTTTTAAATCTTTCCTGTTGTAATAAAAACAGGAAAGTGAGTTCCGTTCCAGAAGTAATGAACCTTATTGAATTCATTATATTTATTGTGAGGTAAATGTGTACAAAGAAGATTTATTGAACAGCCGATCTGTGACTAATGAAGATTAATTAAAGACACTGGGATTTATTTCTGAGGGAAACAAATTCATTCTTAATTTCTCCATCAGAGTCAAGGGCCGAAGATGACAATATTCTATACATTTTCCTAGGAATAAGTTCAACTGAATTTAATGAACACATTCAAGGACACAAGATTAAAGTACTTCCTCAACCCCAAAACAGCACAACGTCAGATTTTTTTTTTAAGAAGACATAATTACAATGAGGAAAGATCCATTTGATGTAGCACATATATCTGAAAATAAGTACACATTAAAAATAAAAACATGTAAATTTAGGCTAGCTTTTATAAAATAACAGATTAAGCATGTACAGGTAGTCCTTGAATTAACCACCACAATTTAGGTTGCTAAATGAGAAATTGGTTAAATGAGTTTTGCCCCATTTTACGACTGTTCTTACTACATTTGTTAAGTGAACCACTGCAGTTGTTAAATTAGTAACACGGTTGTTAAGCGAATCTGACTTCCCCATTGACTTTGCTTGTCAGAAGATCACAAAAGGGGATCACATGATCCTGGGAACGTTGCAACCGTCGTAAATATGAACCCGTTGCCAAGCATCTAAATGTAAATCACGTGACCACAGGGATGCTGTAATGATCATACGTGTAAAAAATGGTCGTCAGCCACTTTTTCTCAGCGCCGTTGTAAGTTTGAGTGGTTACTAAACAAACTGTTGTAAGTTGAGGACTACATGCATGGATGTGACAGATTTTTTAGTTTGCAATGTATCTGTCAAAGGAACAGTAACAGCCATAAACCTCTTAGACAAAAGAGGGTTTGTCTTCTTTGTTATTTCATGGGGCTTGTTCCCACACATTTCCTTTGCTTTTGTTTTTAACAAGGATGACAGAGGACAGAAACAGAAGGGAAGTGAACTATATAATTTTTAAATGGCTTAATTTGGAAAGATTGGCTTTTGTTTTTTTGCTGGCACGCAATGTAGGATGATTGCATGAGTTTTTGTAGGTTAACTTTATTAGGCTTGCCTAATTCCTATGTCAGGGGGTCATCAAACTTGGCCACTTTAAGACTTGTGGACTTCAAGATCACGTGAAGTATTAATACCACTTTACAAGGCCTTGGTAAGGCCACACTTGGGATACTGCATCCAGTTTTGGTCACCACGATGTAAAAAAGATGCTGAGACTCTAGAAAGAGTACAGAGAAGAGCAACAAAGATGATTAGGGGACTGGAGGCTAAAACATATAAAGAATAGTTGCTGGAATTGGGTATGTCTAGTCTAATGAAGAAAAGGACGAGGGGGGACATGATAGCAGTGTTCCAATATCTCAGGGGCTGCCCCAAAGAAGAGGGAGTCAAGCTATTCTCCAAGGCACCTGAAGGCAGGATAATAAGCAACGGGTGGAAACTAATCAAGGAGAGAAGCAACCTAGAACTAAGGAGAAACTTCCTGACAGAACAATTAACCAGTGGAACAACCTGCCTCCAGAAGCGGTGAATGCTCCAACACTGGAAGTTTTTAAGAAGAGACTGGACAGCCATTTGTCTGAAATGGTATAGGGTTTCCTGCCTGAGCAGGGGGTTGGACTAGATGACCTCCAAGGTCCCTTCCAACTTTATTATTACTTTTACTGCTGCTACTACTACTACTACTACTATTATTATTATTACTCCCAGAATTCCCCAGCCAGCCATGCCTGTCCTATGTTAATACCAGTGAAGTCAGAATGAAAAGTTAGTTTGCTTTAAAAAAAGGAACGAACGAATCCTCTGTGCTTCTCCTTTATAGCATTAAGATCGGAACTCACGGTGGCGGCAGCTGTCCTCGTGCTCCTGGTGATTGTAATAATCGCGCTGATTGTCCTGGTGATCATATGGAAGCAGGTAAGGAGAAATCCTTTCTCTAAACCAGTGGTTCTCAACCTGTGGGTCGGAACCCCATTTGGGGTGGAACGACCATTTCACGGGGGTCGCCAAACAAGGCTGTCCGCCATTTTTTCCCCCTTTTCTTTGGCCACACCCCTAGCACCCGGTGATGTATAAGTGGTTGGGGGTCACCACAACATGGGGAACTGTATTATGGGGTCGCGGCATTAGAAAGGTTGAGAACCACTGCTCTAACTCAACTTCTGCACGGTTTAACGTATTGGGATGGAGCTGACCTTCCATGCCTTCTTTTGCGCAGAAACCCAGATATGAGATCAGATGGAGAGTCATTGAGTCGATCAGTCCCGATGGCCACGAGTACATCTACGTGGATCCTATGCAATTGCCCTATGACTCAAGATGGGAATTTCCTAGGGATGGATTGGTGCTAGGTAAGGATCACCCAAAGACTTGCGATTGTTGCTGCCGCCAAGAAAAGAGTCTCGGAATTTTTCATAGGAAACCTCAGAGCTGAGGTGGCGCAGCAGTTAGCGAGTGCAGTACTGCAGGCCACTTTAGCTGACTGTGTTCAGCAGGTCAGCGGTTCAAATCTCACCGGCTCAAGGTTGACTCAGCCTTCCATCCTTCCGGGGTAGGTAAAATGAGGACCCAGATTGTTGGGGGCAATGTAAATATATATATATATATATACATTGCTTACTGGTGTAAACCGCTTAGAGAGTGCTTGCACTTAAAGCGGTATATAAGTCTCATAAATTAATTAATTAATTAATTAATAATGTACCAGAAATGGGTTACACTAGAAGGCCTTCAAGTTTTCTTCCAACACTGTTATTATGCTGATCCTCTTGGCAACAGGTCCTTCATCCCAAACAGCTCAAAAGGCTACAGGTGAGACTGTTATGGCCTTTCGGTTCTTGGAAAATATTCTTTTTTTTTTTCCTTTTTTTTAATAATTTTTTTTAATTTTCCATTTATTCAACATACAAAATACAATTTACAAGATAAGATAAATTCATAACCATTGGTGCCGCTTGTCCGTTCCCACCAAGCTTCATCCACCCTCTCTAATACCTTCCCTACTTCCCTCCTCTTTCTCTCCTCCCCTCCTACTCTCTTCCTCTCCCCTTCTCCTCTTACCATCCTACATCTTCCCTACACCTTCCTCCCCTCTCATCCCTCTCAAACAAGGAACGCAGCATAGTTGAAATGCCCAAGTAGCACCTCTCACATAAACTACCATATCTATATTATCCTTACCCACCCACTCACCCACCCACCCACCCGCAACCCCCCCCCTCACTTCCCAGAGCAGAATACAGGGTTATTAATAACAAAATTAACAATATACAATAAGAAAAAAGGAAAAATAAAGAAAAAAGGAAAAAAAATCATACTTAACCCTTAACTCCCCTTAAATTACATCATCATAAAACAAATCTCTCCTAGAACATTTACTATAAAATTTACTCATAAAATAAAGGAAACTTTGTAGTCCCGTATTTTTTCTGAATATAATCTATCCATCTTCTCCATAGGTTCTTGGAAGATATTCTTATCGTAGTGAAATGGAAAATATTTTTTTTAAAATTCTTTTATGGGGCTTCATGACAAATCCCAGTAACACTGGAGCAGTTCATGCTGTTTCTATTCTCTGGCCTGGAGCTAATCAAATGTCCTCTTGTTGATAGTGACATGATGAAAAAAAAGAGAGCTTAGGCACTTCTGCTTACTTAGGGCATCTTGCTTTCTATCTTTTCTCACGCTTATTTTATGCGAAAGTGAAGTAATAATTTAAGATGGCGGACTTCTCAACTTTATCACTTCAGATTGTAGCTAGATGGGCATCCTGTACAGAATTGAAATAAGGCCATATTTTTTTGAGTTTCAACTCTTGCCTAATTAAAAACAGGCTTCCAGTGCTCAAGAAGAAGGTACTAGTAGATTTTACTAGGTTTACGGAAGTTACCCATGCCACATATTTAGAAAAACTCTCGAAAGGAAAAAAAATAACTCCAGAGTTAATTCTCAGCAACTGTATTCTCTCGCCTATAGGCCGAATCCTTGGCTCTGGAGCTTTTGGGAAAGTAGTGGAAGGAACCGCATATGGATTAAGCCGGTCACAACCAGTGATGAAAGTAGCTGTGAAAATGTTGAAACGTAAGTATTTTTTTTTCCATTTACAGCTGATATACCGCATCATTCTGTTATGTATTCAAGATGGGCAGTGTTTAATATTCGTATGTTATGTATATGTAGGGCTGTTGGTCTATACCAGTGGTTCTCAACCTGTGGGTCGCGACCCCATTTGGGGTCGAACAACCATTTCACGGGGGTCGCTAAACAACGCAGTCCGCCATTTTTCCCCCTTTTTCCTTAGCTGTGCTACTCCCTTTTATTCTATTGGCTTTTGAAAGCCAATAGAATAGACTCTCTTGAATAGAGTTTAATTCTATTGGCTTTCAAAAGCCAATAGGAATTGTCCAGGCTGTCTCTGCCCTGCTGAGCCCGCCAAAAGTCCCATTTTGCAAACGGTGCTGCACCAGTTGAGTAGTCCTCGACTTACGACCGGTTGGGGGTCGCGGCATTAAAAAGGTTGAGAACCACTGGTCTATACATACGTTGTATATAGCATGTATATGTTGTATATAGAATGTTTAGGTGTGTGTCATGTATGTGTTCACTTTGAGAATGGGCAACTAAATTTCATTTTTGACGTGTGTTGTTGTGCCCACAGTAAAAAATGACAACAAAGGTTGCCTTGCCTTGCCTTGCCTTGCCTTGCCTTGTCCCATCCCATCTTCTCTTCTCTTCTCTTCTCTTCTCTTCTCTTCTCCTCCCCTCACCCTACCCTACCTCATCTCACCTCACCCCATCTCATCTCAGCTCATCATTCTCTTGAATGCCATCTCATTAGCATTTGAGCTTGCAATAAAGATTAATCAGCTCAATGTATTTCCTGTAGACTTAATATTTAATGTGACTAGTCTTTTTTTTTTTTAAAGGATTGAATAAAGTTACCAGTTGATACTTCTGTTCATAGTAGCGGAGCTGAGAAAATCTAATTATATATAGGAACTCATCAACACACAACCAACCGTGGGCAACCAGAATTTCCATTGCTAAGCGAGGCAGTTGCGCCCAATTTTATGCCCACATTTGTTAAGTAAATTACTGCCGTTGTTAAGTGAATCATGCAGTCATTAAGCACATCCGCCTTCCCCCATTGACTTCGGTGTGTCCGAAGCCAGCTGGGAAGTTTGCAAATGGCGATCACGTGACCCAGGGATGCTGCCACGGTTGTAAATATACGACTGTTGCCAAGTGCCCAAATTTTGGCCTCATGACTGTAGGGATGTTGCGATAGTTGTAAGTATGAGTACTGGTCATAAGTCATTCATGGTGCAAAATAATAATTTTGCAGCGCTCACAGTCTGATTCAGGAAACAATCTACACTGGGAAATGTCCACCCTAGGAAGATAGCGCTGCTTTATTTATTAAGCAAGTTAAGGAATCAGCAAATAAAATGAAAGGAGTTCTCTTTCCCTAGCACAGGGGTAAGCAACCTCAGCTCTTTTATGACGCGTGGACTTCAACTCCCAGAATTCCTGAGCCAGCCATGCTGAGGGGAAAGGGAGAGGTTTCCAAGCTGAGCCAGGCTGGCTCAGGAATTCTGGGAGTTGAAGTCCACGAGTCATAAAGCAGCCTAGGCCAGAGGTAGGCAACCTTGGCTCTTTTATGACTCGAGGACTTCAACTTCCAGAATTCCTGAGCCAGCCATGCTGAGGGGAAAGGGAAAAGTTTCCAAGCTGAGCCATGCTGGCTCAAGAATTCTGGGAGTTGAAGTCCACGAGTCATAAAGCGGCCTAGGCCTAGGCCAGAGGTAGGCAACCTTGGCTCTTTTATGACTCGAGGACGTCAACTCCCAGAATTCCTGAGCCAGCCATGCTGAGGGGAAAGGGAGAGGTTTCCAAGCTGAGCCATGCTGGCTCAGGAATTCTGGGAGTTGAAGTCCACGCGTCATAAAAGAGCCAAGGCTGCCTATCCCTGCCCTAGCAGATCTTCTTTTGAAAACTATTTTTTCCCCAAGAAGATTCCTGTTCATAAAGAAACAGTAACCATGCTAACTTATTTCTGTGCAGATTGTCCTCGACTTACAACAGTTCATTTAGCGACTGTTCAAAGTTACCACAGCACTGGGAAAAGTGACTTATTTTTCACAGTTACAACCTTTGTAGCATCCCCACGGTCACGGGATCAAAATTCAGATGCTTGGCAACTGGTTCATACTTACGACCACTGCTGAGTCCCAAGGTCACGTGGTCAACCCTTTGCAACCTTTTGACAAGCAACGTCAATGGGGGAAGTCAGATGCACTTAACAACCGGGTTACTAATGAACTGGAGTGAGGCACTTAACAACTGGGGCAAGATCGGTCATAAAATGGGGCAAGACCCACTTAACAACAGAAATTTTGAGCTCAGCTGTGGTCACGACTACCTGTAATTTCTAGAATAACACATTCTAACTCTCTTGTGTACCGTATTTTCCCACCAGCAACGGCAAGGTCCAGCGAAAAGCAGGCTCTTATGTCTGAATTAAAGATAATGACCCATCTTGGGCCCCACTTGAACATTGTCAACCTGTTAGGAGCCTGCACAAAATCAGGTAAATTTCTCTAGCCGTCCTCTCTTTTGTCCCTTTCGCTTGAAAAAAAAGAAAGAGACCAGCAGGGCTGGCTGCTCTCGTTGAGCTAGTATTTAGAAGAGTAGGCTGTAATTTAAGAAATCAAACGCTGGCCATTTTACTCGATCACTGTTGCGGTTTGCTATACAAGTCTTCCTAGCATGATGTTCTTCAGATGTGTTGGTTTCTACAACTCCAGATCTGCTCAAAGGACAACTCCTATGAATTACTAGCCAGCAGGGCAAGCACATCGGGGAGGCGCCAAGTTTGGGAGCTAGCATAATTATTCTATAATTATTGTCAATCCTATGTTATCAGGATTGCATAATTTAAGACCTCACCAAGCCAAACACGGCCTCTTTAGCCATCGAAAGAAGTGACAAGAGACTTCCAAGCAGTGGTGGGATTCAAATAGGTCAAACATGTCAAACACAAGGCCCGGGGGCCGGATGTGGCCCGCGAAGTGGTTTCATGTTACCCGCGAAGCTGTCCTGGAAACAGTGAGGGAACAGCGCCCTCTGCCTTGGCCCTGTTCCAGGCTAGCCGGGAGCCAATGTACAATTTTGTGATGGCCATCTTGGCATTTGCCCCAGTGGACCATGCCTTGGCACTTGCCCTGGTCCCACCCCCTTCTGCCAGAGACCCTCAGATCTGTCCCACTCCTGCCCAGGCCGCCATAGGCACCCTTGACACGAATGATGTAGAATTGGCCATGCCCACCCAGTAGGCCACACCCACTCCATCCACGCCCTCCCAGTAAGCTGCACCCACTCTGGCCACACCCCCCCCAGGGCAACTACAATGCTGATGCGGCCCTCAGTGAAATTGAGTTTGACACCCCTGAAATAAGTGAACAACCGGTTCTCTGTCTGGATGCCGCTTCCGGAAGTCCATTCTGGGCCTGGGCAACAAAAAATTAGCTACCGGTTCTGCCAAACTGGTGCAAACCGGCTGAATCTCACCACCACTTCCAAGTACAGAAAGGTTGCTATGAACATGGTAGGTTATCATTCGTAGTTCTTGACATTCAGATTTCAGAACCTTTCTGACAGCCTTTAAGGTCGTGTTTATGTGTATAATTCAGTGTAGAAAAGTCTCTGATGACCACTAAATACCGTACTTTCCGGTGTAAAAGATGACTTTCGTAAGTGGTAAAATCGGCGCCAAAGTCAGGGATCGTCTTATACGCCGAGTTGTCTTATACGCCGGAAATTACGGTAGTTTCTGGCGTATAAGATGACTTTCTAGGCGTTTATGTGTATAATTCAGTGTAAAAAAGTCTCTGATGACCACTAAGTACCGTACTTTCCGGCGTATAAGATGACTTTTGCAAGTGGTAAAATCAGCGCCAAAGTCGGGGGTCTTATACACTGGGTCACCTTATACGCCGGAATATACGGTATGTCTCGAAAGGCAGATTTGGGGAGAGTGCCTAAGGCTCTCAGCGTTTTGCTTTTGTGACAAGAATGGGAGATGAATTCAAAGACTTCCTTCATGCTTCTTGGAGTTTGTCCACCAAGAAAGAATCATTGTTATTGAGACGTAATCCCTATCATTGATCTTCGATTAGTTTCCAAACATGACTTCCCGGAGGCATTAACTATTCTGCTTTGTTCCTCCTCGCTAGGTCCAATATACATCATAACAGAGTACTGTTTTTATGGAGACTTGGTGAACTACCTCCATAAAAATAGGGATAATTTTCTGAGTCGGCACCCGGAAAAGGCGAAGAAGGATCTGGACATTTTTGGCATGAATTCTGCAGATGAAAGCACGAGAAGGTAAGCTTGAGCTCTAAAGTAATCAAAGGGACAATATTAATCTGTCCCGTCTGCCTTTAACGTATAGCCATGCTGGCCACATGACTACAGAAATTGTCTTTGGACAAACACATAAGGAACGGTTTCTGGAATTGGGTATCTCTAGTCTAAGGAAGAGAAGGATGAGTGGGGACATGATAGCTGTGTCCCAATGTCTCAGGGGTTGCCCCGAAGAAGAAGGAGTCAAGCTCTTCTCCAAAGCACCTGAGGGCAGGACAAGAAGCAAGGGATAAAAATTAATCAAGGAGAGAAGCAACCTGGAACTGAGGAGAAATTTCCTACAATTAATCAGTGGAACAACCTGCCTCCAGAAGCTGTGGATGCGCCAACACTGGAGATTTTTAAGAAAGTTGTCTGAAATGGTATAGGGCAGACATGTCAAACACAAGGCCCGGGGGCTGGATGCGGCCCGCAATGTGGTTTCATGTGGCCCGCGAAGCCATCCTGGAAACAGTGAGGGAATGGCCACCGCTGCCTTGGCCCTGGCCCAGGCCGGCCGGGAGCCAATGTACAATTTTGTGGTGGCCATCTATGCTGAAACACATTCAGTCTTAGCTCCACAAGGCCGTTTGGAAACAGCGAGGAACCAGCCCCTGCTGCGTCTGCCCCGCCTCCTGGGTGCATGCTGGGGAGGTGTCACCCTTTGTGAGGAAGAAATGCACCATCGCCTGGAAGTGGCCAGCAAATGGCCCTTGCCTATATCCGGCTTGATGGGCTCTGGGGGAGGGGTTTTGGCGCTCTTCCAGTGGACCATGCCTTGTCACTTGCCCTGGTCCCACCCCCTTCTGCCAGAGACCCTCAGATCTGTCCCACTCCTGCCCAGGCCCCCACAGGCCCCCTTGACACGAATGATATAGAACTGGCCATGCCCACCCAGTAGGCCGCGCCCACCCTGCCACACCTACCCGGCCTATGTTCCCCCCCCCCAACAATCTGAGTCCTCATTTTACCACCCTCGGAAGGATGGAAGGCTGAGTCAACCTTCAGCCGGTCAGGATCGAACTGCCGAACTGCCGGCAAGCGGCAGTCCTAGCAGAAGTAACCTGCAAGTATTGCATTCTAACCACTGCACCACCTCAGTGCACAAAAAAAGATGTTGAAAATTTGGAAAAAAAAATTCAGAGAAGAGCAACTAAGATGATCCAAGGCCTGGAGACTAAAACATAGGAAGAATGGCTGCAGGACTTGGGTTTGGCTAGTCTAAAGAAAAGAAGAAACAGGGGAGACATGATAGCAGTATTCCAGTATTTGGGGCTGCCACAAAGAGGAGGGGGTCACGTTATTCACCAAAGCACCCAGAGGGCAGGACAAGAAACAATGGATGGAAACTAATCAAGGCGAGAAGCAACCTGGAATTAAAGATAAACTTCCTAACAGTGAGGACAATTAACCAGTGGAACTGCTTGCCTCCAGAAATCGTGAGCGCTCCATCACTGGAGATTTTTAAGACGAGACTAGACAGTCATTTGTCTGAGATGGTATAGGTTCTCCTTCTTGAGCAGGGGGCTGGACTAGAAGACCTCCAAGATCCCTTCCAGCTCTATTCTATTCTAAATATTCTCAATATTTAGAAATAACAGATCGGTATAATAAATACAGCAAATATTCAAACTCCAGTTTCTTTATATTGCTACGGTGCTTTTTAATTCCAGCTATGTCATCCTGTCCTTTGAAAATAATGGTGAATATATGGATATGAAACAAGCAGACACAACTCAGTATGTGCCCATGTTAGAAAGAAAAGACAAGTCGAAATATTCTGACATCCAGAGATCTTTGTATGATCGGCCTGCTTCATATAAGAAAAAGTCTATATTGGGTGAGTCCACTTATATATCTTAGCATATATAACTAAGTAACTTTATTCTGCAAAGAATCAGACTAGATTAAGGTTAGGTTTTCTCCTTGAATTGTTCTCCCCCCCCCCCCGAACAAGTCATTTGAAGTTGTTGCTAGTCTTGTACGAGCAAAAGTTAAAAGATTTTGTGGATGGCTTTTGTCATTTCACCTCCCTATTCCACAGTTTTTATGGTTTTTTGACTGTAGTCTGCGACGTTTGGTTCCATATTGTCCCTAATAGCTGCACCATTTAGTTCTTTTATGCTGGCACTCATGGCAGAAATGATTGCCATTAGATTTTATTTTATTTTTCGTCTTTCAGGCTTGATTGCAATGGTCTCTTTCTGTGTTCATCTCTCTGTATGAGCACAAGGATAGCTAAAGGGTCAGGTCTTATGGCCATTTCGACATTCAATTTTCCTAAAAATTGAATGATTTGAGCTTGGTTTTACAGGTCGTATAAAGTCTGAAAGATTACAGCACCATCTCACTGATTATAATCTGAATTATACCTTTTTCATGAAAAACGTAATGTATTTATTCTTCCTGTAGAACAGGGGTCTTCAAACCTGGCCCTTTTATGACTTGTGGACTTCAACTCCCAGAATTCCTCCTGGCTGAGGAATTCTGGGAGTTGAAGTCCACAAGTCATAAAAGGGCCAAGTTTGAAGACCCCTGCCATAGAATCATCTGTGTTGCCGCAGGTGATAGCTTCTACTGTAAGCAACTCAAAGTGAGTCTCCAAAAGTAAGCAGGGCTGGATCTGGTTAGTCATCGGATGAGAGACCATCAGAAATTCCAGAGTCTGGGAAGTCAAAAAGACATTATGGAAGAAAGCAATGGCAAATTAATTTCCATACCGCTACCAGAACAGCAGCATAGATACCTCCACAGAGTCACCCATAATGAAGCTCAGTTCAAAGGTGTCTTTTGGCATAATAAGAAAGCCAAATAATATTAACACCCTTGAAACAAATGTCGCCATATTATTGCATGCTAGTAAATATTGTGTGCACTAGGAAGAATTGAAAGTGAAGTATTAAAGCAATTGGAATGTCCTATGCACATAGCAGTGGGTTCAGAAGGTTCCCAAATATTGAGTCCCAGAAAGTTCCTGTATCTTGAAGAATCCTACAAAAGGCAAGAGTCGTATTAGGTGTTAACATTTCCTGCTTCAGGGGACAGGGAAGGCAAAAAATATGCCAGGTTTGGCTTTTTTTTTTCTGCAAATGATAATTATTTGTTTCTTACAATTCGGTTGATTATCTAAGGTTGTTGTGACAGCATCAGCTACTATTTATAATTCAAAATGAGGTAGGTATTTAGGATGACCTCTGGAGTCAAAGATTTCCTATCTTTTCTTTCTTTCTTTCTTTTTATATAAATGTTTTATTGAGTTTTATTATTTATTTATTTAAAAAGGTTTTTATTAATAAAACAGTTAAAACAAAAAAGGACAGAATGTGTCATACCAGTACATATAATCCTAACAATTTGTTCCTTGTCATACATATAATTCCAAATCTCTATATATACATGTTTTCCTATATAATACAGTCTCAAATTTGTTTCTCTATATCTTAGCATACAGTTTTATATATCACAATCTTAACACTAACTTAAAACACGAACAGTTCTCCTTGACTCATATCAGCAATAAAATTTGTCCCAGATTTCAAAATAGGTAGGTATTTAGGATGACCTCTGGAGTCAAAGATTTCCTATCTTTTCTCTTTCTTTCTTTCTTTCTTTCTTTCTTTCTTTCTTTCTTTCTTTCTTTCTTTCTTTCTTTCTTTTATATAAATGTTTTATTGAGTTTTATAAGGGTAGGGAAAGGATAAGATAAGATCGGTATGGATATTGGATGAGGTTAGGGGATGGGGTTGGGATAAGGGTAGGGGTAGGTACAATCATGGGGTTACCCCCACAAAAAAATTCAACGCTTTAGCAAGCAGACTATCGTCCAGGTACAAATATTAAATGACAGTAATTAATATAATACTAAACAGTTACAATCACTAATAATGACAATAATCATAAAAGTAAAGCTTAGTTAATAATTACCATTCATCCTGTTAAACTTCACCGTCCTTTCTCGTTCTATCGTATTGCTAACCATTGATAAAAAATTTTTCCCATGTTTTGAAATAAATTGAATCTTCTTTCTCTTTAATCTCTAAAGTTAATCTGTCCATTTCTGCACATTCTAAGATTTTCGTAATTATAGTCCGGTCATGTGGCTATCTTTTCTTTATCCTCTTACTTAGCACATAATGCTAATGTTTATCTCTATCCATAGAACTGATCAATGATGTTTCTTAGGCTTAATGAGGGCCAGTGTCATTGGTGGCACAAATGGTTTTGTTTTCCTTTTTTTTTTGTTTTGTATTTGGCCGATTTTGAGCCACTGGTTTTGTGCTTTTCCTTAGATTAGGATTCCTTCCTAAGGGTTAACCAACTTTAAACAGAAGTAATTTGTAGAATGCCAAATTGATGGTTAGTCAAGGGCCGTATGACCAGCTCATCCCTTTTACTGTCCTATTACACTGAAATCTGATCCAGGGTTTACAAAACAGATTGGCTCGCTCCTGATTCTTGAACTGGATTCCCTTCCCATCCCAGCTCCACTGGCAGAGGCTGGTCCACTATGGCTTTACTGAGTCCACAAGTCACCAAATGATTATAATTTAGGCCTGTTGCAGCTGTCATTTTCCCGAGCATAATAAGAATCATTGATCCTTTGAGAGCCTTGGGTGACCTCAATTGCCAAAAAGCACGAGCCAGCCTACTAGCAAAGCTAAGCAGGACAAAAATGGATATGAGTAGAAAACAAGTGGACGACTCCATGCCATTTCTAAATGATGCCTTTGGATTTAAACCACACGGGAATAAAATAACAACAAGCCCTGTAATGTGTAGGTGGTACTTCTTTCATCCTGCAATTTCTAGGAAAAATGTCTATAATTAAAGGAGATATATTTAGTATTTGGATTTATTTATTTATTTATTTAAAAAAAAAGTACTCTTCTCTACTATCGATGGATAAAAACGTAGCTTGTTATGTTGAAATGTTTTGGAGATAGTACAGATGTGATAGAAGGACAGAGGAAAAAGTTGCTGGATTTGGTAAAGGGAAACGACAATCTAAGGCAGGGGTAGGCAACCTCGGCTCTTTTATGATTCGTGGACTTCAACTCCCAGAATTCCTGAGCCAGCCTGGCTCAGCTTGGAAACCTCTCCCTTTCCCCTCAGCGTGGCTGGCTCAGGAATTCTGGGAGTTGAAGTCCTCAAGTCATAAAAGAGCCAAGATTGCCTACCTCTGGCCTAGGCCTAGGCCGCTTTATGACTCGTGGACTTCAACTCCCAGAATTCCTGAGCCAGCATGGCTCAGCTTGGAAACCTCTCCCTTTCCCCTCAGCGTGGCTGGCTCAGGAATTCTGGGAGTTGAAGTCCTCAAGTCATAAAAGAGCTGAGGTTGCCTACCTCTGGCCTAGGCCTAGACCGCTTTATGACTCATGGACTTCAACTCCCAGAATTCCTCAGCCAGCATGGCTCAGTTTGGAAACTCTCCCTTTCCCCTCAGCATGGCTGGCTCAGGAATTCTGGGATTGAAGTCTACGAGTCATAAAGAGCTGAGGTTGCCTACCTCTGGCCTAGGCCTAGACCGCCTCATGGACTTCAACTCCCAGAATTCCTCAGCCAGCATGGCTCAGTTTGGAAACTCTCCCTTCCCCTCGCATGGCTGGCTCAGGAATTCTGGGAGTTGAAGTCCACGAGTCATAAAGTGGTCTAGGCCTAGGCCAGGGGTAGGCAACCTTGGCTCTTTTATGACTCGAGGACTTCAACTCCCAGAATTCCTGACCCAGCATGGCTCAGTTTGGAAACTCTCCCTTTCCCCTCAGCATGGCTGGCTCAGGAATTCTGGGAGTTGAAGTCCATGAGTCAATAAAAAGGGCTGAGGTTGCCTACCTCTGGCCTAGGCCTAGACCGCTTTATGACTCATGGACTTCAACTCCCAGAATTCCTCAGCCAGCATGGCTCAGTTTGGAAACTCTCCCTTTCCCCTCAGCATGGCTGGCTCAGGAATTCTGGGAGTTGAAGTCCACGAGTCATAAAAGAGCCAAGGTTGCTTACCCCTGATCTAAGGAAATAGCGATAATAAGTACTTAATCCTTGAATTTTATGCAGGAAAAGGGGGGGGTGTGTGATTAAATCAGTCTGCTGGAGACACTGTGTTATCTCCTTCACCTCTCGGAAAGACTCAACCTGTTCCAAAGCCTTTCACTCTTGAGGCTGCCTGAAAGAGATTGACGGATTTATTGATTCCTCTGGAGTTAAAATTTAACAAAAGCATTTTCTTTTTATTTTTTTTCCCCTCCTCTCAATGAAACTAGATGGGAAGAATCTGCTTTCTGATGATAATTCAGAAGGCCTCAGTTTGTTGGACCTTCTGAGCTTCACCTACCAGGTAGCTCGGGGAATGGAGTTCCTGGCTTCAAAAAACGTAAGTGGAAAAGCTTGGAGGGTGGTTTCATTTAAACAAAGTTTGCATCCAAGCTTTGCACAGAGGTCTTATAAAAAGAACAATCAGCAGAACGTGCATGAGAAAACAATTATTTCTATTATATACGTAATTTGAGACAGTTGACATTTTCCCACACAGCTGTCCAATCCCAGGCAAAAACCCAAATAGCCAATTCTGTCATAAATCCAGTATAACATATTTAGATCTAAAGTTTCCTATTAAATTCTAGAAAACAAAACAAAAGAAATTACTCCAATACCATTCCCTAGCAAGATTAATAAGAGGGAAGTTATCTAAATCAGGCAATGGGGAGGAAACACAATTCAAACACAAATTGGTAGACTTCACACATATCATTACCGAACATAGGCTCTGGGTTTTTGAAAGGATGAGTGCAGACACACCAAATCTAGAAGAAGTGTATTTGTACATTTACATCAGGGGTCTTCAAGCTTGGCCCTTTTATGACTTGTGGACTTCAACTCCCAGAATTCCTCAGCCAGCGTGCCTGGCTGAGGAATTCTGGGAGTTGAAGTCCACAAGTCATAAAAGGGCCAAGTTTGAAGACCCCTGATTTACATACTATTTTCTGAAAAATGAATACTATTATGAGGGGGAGAAGAAACCACTTCGTTCCTAGCTTCAAACCCAATCAATTTTCACCTCTTTTGATCAGTCACTTGAGTTATTTTAAGAACGGGGATGGGAAGGGACCCTCTCTAAATTTAACAACCAACCAGATTTTTAAATGTTGTACCCCAAGAAGGACAGTTTTCCCAGTGGGATCTTCCTGACTGTACGATGGTTGGGTCAGAGTTAGGAGTTTATCCCTGTCAGCGATTCCCCCCCCCCCAACGTATTCCATAGATCTGCTTGCCATTACATATCTTATGTATAAGTCACAGTTTCTATGTTAGGATCTAGGCAGCTTGAAATGTTCATGTGGTCAAGAGGGAGACAGTGCCAAAGCTGCATGCCAGGCTGAGAAACAAATTCAGCCTGGTTGGCTTAGTCTTCTAGATTTGGTATTTCTGCACTCATCCTTCCTCTTACTTTCCCCTAAATAAGCTACATTGCAATGATCTTAATGCTAACATTTAACATTTGAAATGTTAAAGATGGAAAAGAGAGGGTTCGCCTTTAAAGAGCCCACCTTTAACATTTCAAAAGTATAAGATCATTGCAATGTTTCTCACTAGCATCAGCCAACACCACGATGTAAAAAAGATGCTGAGACTCTAGAAAGAGTGCAGAGAAGAGCAACAAAGATGATCAGGGGCCTGGAGGCTAAAACATATAAAGAACGGTTGCTGGAATTGGGTATGTCTATTTTAATGAAGAGAAAGACGAGGGGGGACATGATAGCAGTGGTCCAATATTTCAGGGGCTGCCCCAAAGAAGAGGGAGTCAAGCTATTCTCCAAAGTGCCTGAAGGCAGGAGAAGAAGCAATGGATGTAAACTAATCGAAGAGAGAAGCAACCTAGAACTAAGAAGAAATTTCCTGACAGTTAGAATAGTTAATCAGTGGAACAACTTGCCTCCAGAAGCAGTGAATGCTCCAACACTGGAAGTTTTTAAGAAGAGACTGGACAGCCATTTGTCTGAAATGGTGTAGGGTTTCCTGCCTGAGCAGGGGGTTGGACTTGATGACTTCCAAGGTCCCTTCCAACTTTATTATTATTGATCATCGCACAGTCAGCCAGATGTTCAGACTGGATTTGGCATTTTTGTCTACCTATCGAGTCCTTACCAAGGACCTGGGATAGGCAGATGTGGATGTTTGTGGCATTACAGATGGATGGAAGCAGTTCCTAGTAAGGCCGCCTTTTGAAATTGACTAATGGCGAATTTGTCAATGCCAATGGTGTCCAAGTGGTGCTACAGTTGTTTTGGGATTGCACCCAAGGAGCCTATTACTATTGGTATTTTATTTATTATTGTTATTATTATCTGTATACAGTGGTACCTTGATATACATTGTTAATTGATTTTGGGAGGGATGATGAGTATCAAAAATAAATGATGAACACCAAACCGGCCGGCTGAAGCTTCAAATCCCCTTAGCCGGGCGATCTGATGCTGCGCTATTAAGCACAGCAACCAGAGAAACCACAATAGATGGGAAAAGAAAGGAAAATAAAAAGGAAAAATACGACCTGATCGTTGTCTCTGCCTAAAGACTGAGCCAAGCTTTACCACATCTCGTACGTGTGAAGACCAAGTTGAGACTGGGTCTCCTAGCCCAAGGGAAGAGGCATGGCAAAGGGTTGATTGACTTGGTCTCTGGGCAGGAAGACAAGGATCAACCCATCTATTGTGGATTCTCCATCGTCATGCTGAGAAAAGGCGTTCAGGTAAGACAACGCCCCTTCTCATAAGGAATAATGTAGTGAGTCACAAGGCAGCTGATACTGACAAGTTCTAGCTTGTGCATTGAGTAAACAATGAGTACCGGGACCAAATTTTTGCAGTACCAAATTTGATGAGTTTCAAAGCAATTGAGTACCAAGGTACCACTGAATAGCAAAGTCAGCTTATTATTCTAAAGTTGACTAATGTATCCTTTTTTCTTTTTTTTTTTTTACAGTGCGTGCACCGTGATCTGGCAGCACGCAATGTCCTCTTGGCTCAAGGGAAAATTGTGAAGATCTGTGACTTTGGGCTAGCAAGAGATATCATGCACGATTCAAACTATGTCTCCAAAGGCAGTGTATGTATCGCTGTTGTTTTTACCTGGGGGTGGGTGCAGTGGTGGGATTCAAATCATTCAACAGCCGGTTCTCTGCCCTAGCGACCGCTTTAAGTATAAAAGAACGATACACCGAAAGGTGGTTTATTATTTCATGCATTTACTACTTAAATAAGTACAACAAAAGAGGTACACAAAACTAGCTTGCGTTACAAGAAAGAGTTTTAAAATGTTAATAAAAAAATATTAAATAACACCTGACCAAAAAAACAATAAAACTGTTAGGATATTTCCGTATTGCTTCTTGATTGGCGTCCTCACTTGCAATTTTCTTTCCTTTTATCCGAGCATTCTGGGACTTTTTCTTGTCTAGCTATACCAAGGGTAGGCAACCTCGGCTCTTTTATGACTCATGGACTTCAACTCCCAGAATTCCTGAGTCAGCATAGTCATAAAAGAGCCGAGGTTGCCTACCCCTGGTATAGCTAGACAAGAAAAAGTCCCAGGGCCACAACCCCAGCTAATATTTGGTGGCCTCGCCCCCTTTCTCCTATGCACCAATCAGGAAACTAGAGAGATGCACCAATCAGGAAACTAGAGAGATGGAGCGTCTATTCCTGAAATTACCTCTGAGAAGCACCACCTAGTTTTCGCCTGAGTGACGTGATCGAAGGCGCCACGTCTCCATTTTGTTTTCGTTGCTCCTCTCTTGGTCTTTTGGGGAGGTTTTTTCCCCCCCCCCCACCTGGAAGGAAGTTGAATAAAAAACAGACAAGTTCTGAAAAACATAGATTTATCATAACCAGTTTGCCGAACTCAACAAAAAATTAGGTTTTGGTTCTGCCGAACCGATGCGAACCAGCTGAATCTCAGCACTGGGTGGGTGAAAAGCAAGCTGCAGCCTTTTAAAAAATGGCCAACTTTAGTGTCTTTGCTATATAGCACATTGTCTATGTCAGTGGTTCTCAAACTGTGGGTCGGGACCCCATTTGGGGTCGAACGACCATTTCACGGGGGTCGCCAAACAAGGCTGTCCGCCATTTTTTCCCCTTTGGCCACGCCCCTGGCACCCGGTGATGTATAAGTGGTTGGGGGGGTCACCACAACATGGGGAACTGTATTATGGGGTCGCAGCATTAGAAAGGTTGAGAACCACTGGTCTATGTGCTACATAGCCACATACTTATGGCGACAAATCAACTTTAAAGACAGCCCTGATAGTGAATATTGCATTTACGGCAGTTCTTGCATGTTCTCTAATTCACGTTTGCCTTTTTCAGACCTTCCTTCCAGTGAAATGGATGGCACCTGAAAGCATTTTTGACAACCTGTATACCACATTAAGTGATGTCTGGTCCTATGGCATTCTTTTATGGGAAATATTTTCTCTTGGTAGGCAAACTAATTGCTTTGGTGTATGAAAGAATTGAACCTGATAAATAAACAGCCTTCTGCAATATACGAGGGTTGAAATTTTAGTTTAGAGGCATGTTAACCAAAATGGTATCAGTATTATTTTTTTTTTTATTTGCTATGAGCCTCCGGTACTAACCGAGAACAAATAAAAATAACAACATAATATCAGCAAGTATATGTTGATGAAAAAGTTGCATCCTATAATTTTCTATTTCCAAATTTTATAACAAATCAGGTGAATTCGAATATAGAATTCTAAGAAGTTAGTTTTGTAAATAATATCAATTTCGATGTTCTCAAAAGCCAATCCATACTACTGTTTTTGATGTATGTTGGCAATCTGTAATAGTTTGTTGGTTATTATTAAATTAAAATAAATTGTGCATCCACATATTCTTTTAAATAATACATAAAAACAGTTTCAGGATGTCAGTCAGACACCAGTAGAATATCTTTTGCAAATGGTTTGATAAACATATTTGATCAGAAAATATGAAGAGATTCTGTGGTAGGGTTTTTTTTTGGCAACTCAGACTACAATTTTGATCTTTATTATGACATATTAACCCAATATCTAAGAGGTCAAAGGCTGATTTTCTATTGGGTTTTTTTCGTTCTTTCTTTTCTTTAATTAAAGCTAAACAATTCATTTTCAAAACACTTTCCCCGAAACATAATCCCGCCTGCAAGATTGCGCCTCCACTATCATTATTGCTCTCAGTCTCCCGCCCTATCACCCCCTGCCTCAATGTTGAGGGCAGTGATGGCCACAATAATGTGGTCCACCCATAAAATAAGTAGACGGATTCATATGTTATGCTAAACCAGTGGTTCTCAACCTTTTTAATGCCGTGACCCCCAACCGGACATAAGTCGAGTACTACTCAACCGGTCGTAAGTCAAGGACTACTCAACTGGTGCAGCACCGTTTGCAGAATGGGACTTTTGGCGGGCTCAGCAGGGCAGAGACAGCCTGGACAATTCCTATTGGCTTTTGAAAGCCAATAGAATTAGACTCTATTCAAGAGAGTCTATTCTATTGGCTTTCAAAAGCCAATAGAAATAAAAGGGAGTAGCACAGCTAAGGAAAAGGGGAAAAAAATGGCGGACTGCATTGTTTGGCGACCCCCGTGAAATGATCGTTCAACCCCAAATGGGGTCCCGACCCACACGTTGAGAACCACTGTGCTTAAACCAATAACTCCAATTTTGCTTTGTGTCATAGAATTAAGTGGGTTTATTGTTGGGTTGCAAGACATTAATAAATAATATATGTTCCTATATAGTTGGATATCTGTAAAATGGATATCCTCCATTTTATTTGCAATTGTCTATCCTTATCCAGTGATTTATGTATACTATTATAGATTGCAAAATATTTAGAATCTGCTGAATCTCAGCTTAGACTGATTAGGTGGCGCAGTAGTTAGAATGCAGTACTGCAGGTTAACTCGCTGTTCACTCCAGGAGTTCGATCCTGACCTGCTCAAGGTTGACTCAGCCTTCCATCCTTCCGAGGTTGATAAAATGAGGACCCAGATTGTTGGGGGCAATAGGCTGATTCTGTAAACCGCTTAGAGAGGACTTTAAAGCACTATGAAGCTGCATATAAGTCTAAGTGCTATTGCTTTTGTTCTCCCAACCACTGAAAGCACATATTTATGAAGGAGACGTTGCTTGTTTAGAAGTTTTGTGGTTGTTGAAATTATGCTTGAAGGATGTGACCAGATCATTATTTTATCTTGATTTACCTGCTTTCTAAAAAAATTGTGTGTGTGTGTGTGTGTGTGTAAATTCTTGGACTCTTATCTTTGATGTACGTTGAACCAGTCAAATTTTATACACCCTTGTAAGATTAAAAAGATGGATTGTTTGGAGTTGCTTCCTGAGTCAAAAAATGTGATGTCAACTTTCTGCCTTTGTTTTTCAGGTGGGACCCCATACCCTGGGATGATGGTTGACTCTACCTTCTATAATAAAATAAAAAGTGGCTATCGGATGACAAAACCAGATCATGCTACCTCTGAGATGTACGTATTCACTTGCATCTTCTTTCTCGGCTTGCACATAATTGAATTAAACTGTTTCAGCTCGGTGTCCTTGCAGCATGTAGTCCAAAATGCTTCCAGGCTGAACTTTGAAATTTGCATTAGACTAGAGCTTTAGCTATGGATTGATTTGCCTCCTGCAATATTGCTTCTCCTTAAAAAAAAAACCCAAAAAACACTTTAAGAAAAAGATGGTGTTTGATAAAACAATTAGGTAACTAATTAACAGATGGTCATGAATTCCCTGGGATACTTAAAAGTATAAAAAGGTATGTAATGCAGTGGAGAATGAAGGTTGATAGCTGATTCAATGTTGGTTTTATTGAGGTGCACATTTGTCATTAGCCGAGAGGTCTACCGTGAATGGCTTTCCCCCTATTTTTCATCAGCCTTATATCTTGTTAACAATGTACTTATGAGGTATTTTCTTCTACCTGGTTCCCAGGTATGACATCATGGTGAAATGCTGGAATAGTGAGCCTGAAAAGAGACCATCTTTTTACCACTTAAGTGAAATAGTGGAGAGTCTGTTGCCTGGTGAATACAAGAAGGTTAGTCTTTTCAGAAAATGGGTGTTGCTTTTAGGATTTTAAAAATATGTTTCTTTATGGTCGTTGGGCTGAATTACGGTTTTTTAAATTATATTCTAGGGCAGGGGTGTCAAACACAATTTCATTGAGGGCCGCATCAGCATTGTGGTTGCCCTCGGGGGGGGTGGTGGCCAGGGTGGGTGCGGCCTTCTGGGTGGGTGTGGGCAGAGTGGGTGTGGCCTACTGGATGGGCATGGCCAGGTCTACATTGTTTGCGTCAAGGATGCCTGTGGGGGCCTGGGCAGGAGTGGGACAGATCTGAGAGTCTCTGGCAGAAGGGGGTGGGACCGGGGCGCCAAGACATGGTCCATTTCTTCATTCCTCACAAAGGGTGACACCTCCCCAGCATGCACCAGGGGGCGGGGCCGACACAGCAGGGGCTGGTTCCTCGCTGTTTCTAGACGGCCTTGTGGAGCTAAGACTGAATGTGTTTCAGCATAGATGGCCACCACAAAATTGTACATTGGCTCCCGGCCGGCCTGGGCCAGGGCCAAGGCAGCGGGGGCCGTTCTCTCATTGTTTCCAGGGTGCATTCGCGGGCTACATCTGGCCCCCGGCCTTGTGTTTGACATGTCTGTTCTAGGGAATAATGGCAATATGGAGATAAAAGGTTGGGATGCCTGAGACAACATACATGCTTTTAGGCCCCTTTCCATAGAGGATTGTCTTACCTTGTGCCATTTCTAAAAAGACAGATGATCCATCAGAGAGCAGATCCTGGAAAAGCTGTTGAAGTTAATAGGTTGTTTGGTTTCTTACTGTAATTATGTAGTATAATTTTAATTTTAATACTTTAGGCTTCCAAATCTATTGAGCCATCTTTTATCTCTAACTTAAGTTCTTGTCAAAGTTGTTGTCGCTGCCCTGCAATTTATGCAGGGCTATCACAGCCATTTGCGCTGCAAGGGCTTAAGTTACTACAACCACTGTTCTCATAAAAAAAAATATGTTTCACTTATGGAATAATTATTTTTCTTTAAAAACACCCTACCTGTGAAGCATGATCCTTGAACGGCAAAAGGAAACTTTATTGCAGCATACATTAGATTTTACAGAGAAGAAAGGTTGATAAACCTTTGTAAGACAGATATGTGAAACACAAGGCCCGGGGGCCGGATGCGGCCCGCAAAGTGGTTTCATGTGGCCCGCGAAGCCATCCTGGAAACAGTGAGGGAACGGCCCCCGTTGCCTTGGCCCTGGCCCAGGCCGGCCGGGAGCCAATGTACAATTTTGTGGTGGCCATCTATGCTGAAACGCATTCAGTCTTAGTTCCACAAGGCCGTCTAGAAACAGCGAGGAACCAGCCCCTGCTGTGTCGGCCCTGCCCCCTGGGTGCATGCTGGGGAGGTGTCACCCTTTGTGAGGAATGAAGAAATGGACCATGCCTTGGCGCTTGCCCTGGTCCCACCCCCTTCTGCCAGAGACCCTTAGATCTGTCCCACTCCTGCCCAGGCCCCCACAGGCGCCCTTGATGCGAATGATGTAGAGCTGGCCATGCCCACCCAGTAGGTCACACCCACCCAGTAGGCCGTACCCACCCTGGCCACATCCACCTGGCCCCCCAAGGGCAACCCCAATGCTGATGCGGCCCTCAATGAAATTGAGTTTGACACTCCTGCTGTAAGAGAATAAAGATGAATGTTCTAGGCTTCTAAGCAATGTTTTCAATTTTTTTCCTTAGAGTTATGATAGAATCCACTTGGACTTCTTAAAGAGTGATCATCCTGCCGTCACACGCATGAGAGTGGACTGTGACAATCCATATATTGGTGTCACTTATAAGAACGAGGACAAGCTGAAAGACAGGGAGAGTGGATTTGATGAACAAAGACTCAGTGCAGACAGTGGCTATATAATCCCGCTGCCTGATATTGACCCTGTATCAGAAGATGAACTGGGGAAAAGGAACAGACACAGGTAAGCACAGAAGGGACTTCATTGTGCCATCACTTTTGGTCACGTGAGGTAGTACATTCAGCTTACCTATGCAGTATGTATAGTCAAGGCCATGGTTTTCCCAGTTGCAATATATGGCTGTGAAAGTTGGACCATAAGAAAGACTGAGCGCCAAAGAATTGAGGCCTTTGAACTATGGTGCTGGAGAAGACTCCTGCGAGTCTCCTGGACTGCAAGGCGATCAAACCGGTCAGTCCTAGAGGAGATCAACCCCGGCTGCTCTTTAGAAGGCCAGATCCTGAAGTTGAAACTCAAGTACTTTGGCCACCTAATGAGAAGGAAGGACTCACTGGAGAAGGGCCTAATGCTGGGAAAGATTGAGGGCAACAGAAGAAGGGGACGACAGAGAATGAGGTGGCTGGCTGGAGTCACTGAAGCAGTAGGCCTGAGCTTCAATGGACTCCAGAAGATGGTAGAGGACAGGAAGGCCTGGAGGCACGTTGTCCATGGGGTTACGATGGGTCGGACACGACTTCGCAACTAACAACCATGCAGTTCCTGTTAACTAACTCATTTTTATTGGCTATTTTCAGTCTAGAAATAGCACTTAAAGTTATATACCACTTCACAGTGCTTTACAGCGCCCTCTAAGTGGATTACAACAATCTGGGTCCTCATTTTACTGACCTTAGAAGGATGGAAGGCTGAGTCAACCTTGAGCCGGTCAGGATCGAACTGCTGAAAGTGAGCAGAGTCAGCCTGCAACACTGTATTCTAACGGCTGTATCACCACGGCTCTTTGTTTGGCATTATCACATGTAATGATGTTGCCCAGATTTCTTGAGCAGATGCAGAAAGGAGCTAGAATTCCCTTATTCCTGTGGAAGGAAATATTGGAAACCCACTGCACTAAAGGATCTTTTGGTAATGGAGTTATTTGGCACATTGTTGGATTAGTGAGTTGCAGTCTCGGAAATCTGTGAATGGACTTACAAATAAAAGATCCAGAAGCTCAGATTTCTCCTCAACGTTATAGTCTTTCTGCGGCCACTGCATATAATTGGACAAGTGATTTAAGGGTTGTACGCTGCCCAGAGTCAATTTCTTGTGAGATGGACAGCCATATACAGTAGTGGCCAAAATTGTGGAAACCTTTTGGGAAAAGTGTCCAGTCGAAATGCCACCTTTGGTTAAGTTTCCACCCATTTTTTCTTCTCATTTCTTTATAACAGTAGCCTAGTTCACGTAATAATACTATTTTACATCGCTTTCTGGGCAACCAGTCAACTCTTTGCACCGTTACTTTAATTTTATTACGTTTTACAAGCTCACTAAATGAAAGAACACAAAAAAACCCCAACCAACTTGATAGCGATCACATAACACACTGACAAATGTCCTCCTCTCAGCTTCAATAGATGACATCAATCACTGAATCCTACTCTGATCTGATTGACTCATTGCCAAAACAAGATGACATCTGATTGGCTCTCTAAACACTCACGCTCATTGGCTACAATCGGATGAAGGAAAGCTACCTGAGATCAACCTAAGCAAGTTGTGCTTCCTTTTTCTGGTTATTTGGCTATAACCTTTCATAGAATACAGTTCAGATAATTGAACAAACTTTGTTGCATTACATTCTTGATTAAATTATCTTTCCATTGATGTATACCTTTATGGTACTACTCCCCCCAAAAAAAGTGGTGTTATTAGCCATCAAACCTCAAAAATATACTTTTCCCAAAATGTTTCCACAATTTTGGCCACTACTGTACATATGACAAACGAACAAATAAGTCAAGTATTTCCTGCGTTGCTTTGTTATCTTCCTAACTTTCTTCTTCTGTGCCCTGACCCAGTTCTCAGACTTCTGAGGAAAGCGCCATTGAAACCGGATCCAGCAGCTCTACGTTCGTGAAGCGAGAAGACGAAACCGTGGATGACATTGACATTATCGATGACATTGGCATGGATTCCTCAGAACTAGTTGAGGACAGCTTCCTGTAACTCTGGAAAGGGGAGCGGACAACTTTGGAGCGGTGTGAAATGAAAAAGGAAAGAGGAAGATGAAGATAATGACTCGCGAACTTTCAGTTTTGTAAGGAGAAGCACTCCGAAACAGATGGTAAAGACCTGCCAGTGCTCATGTCCCTCAACAAGTGGTCTCACAATCTCCCTTGGTTGGTGAAAGACTTTGAGAAGCTAGTTGTCAAGCATCCTTCTTCCTTGAAGTACTCCCGGAGCAGCTCAGCCCGTGTTTGCTATTTCAGCGGATGGATGAATAAAGAAAACAGCCACGGGTACTTCAATTTGTGTTTCAAGGGCATTCATATCTCAGACGGATAAAATTTCTACTACGGTGAATCATTGCCAGTGTGATTGTGTAAATACCTGTTCCTACCAGGATATATATATATATATATAATTTTTTTTTTAAAAAAAGAAGACCACTTAAAACTTTGGCATATTTACTTCCTGATGTTTATATAAGCTGCTGGTGGATTAGCACCTGAGACGAATTACATATCAAAAAGAAACCACTTTTGAAACACATGAAATGGATTAACACTAAGTAATGTTTTATTTTTTACAGATAATGCAAACAAAAGGGAACGATGGGTATTTCCAAAATGTATTCAATAGCTTATTAAATCAAATGAGATTTTTTTGTCCATAACCATAGAGGAATAGTTCTTTATCTACTGTTCTCAGTATTACTAAGTATAGTTTATAACTACTTCTCGTCCTTTGTTAAAACACAGTGCTAAAGTCATTACTAACAAACTAAATCATTTTAGGATTTAAGTATTTACACCAAAAGCTCTTCTATTTGACTGTTTTGGTACATTAAATCTAGTTTAAGAAGTAGGAATAGAAAGTGTTTTCTAGGGAATCTAGATATTAATTTTCCATCTTCAGCAGAAGAGCTTTCTTAATACAGCGGGCTGATATGCTAGTGAATCTTCACTAACAGAAGTTGATTTTGCAGAATATAGAAATCTAAAATGTATTTTTAATAAATTTAATACATTTACAATCAAATTATTGTACAATAGAAATAGGTGACCAATGAATAAGGCTGCTTGGAACATTGAAGAATGATGCCACACATTTGAAAAGGGGTTTTTTGGGGGGTGGGGGGGTTATGTATGACTAGTTAGAATGGATACACCAACTGTTCTTTCTGAAAAAGCTTTTTTCTGAGCCTGAAGTTTCCAGTTGTGTAGCTACTTTGTGCAAAAATGTTTTTGTTCTAAACAAATTTTCCTACAAAAATTAGCAAAGGTTTTTTTTTATTTTGGTTTTTTGTAATTACTCCAATGGGCATTGAATCAAACATAAAGTCTTTCCATGCATACAGTATACTTAAAACACAGGTCTGCCTTATTTCTGTAGATTTAGGGGAAAAAAGATGCCACTGCATTTCTAAAATGTCAATCAGGTAGCATTAATTCTTCTTTTATATATTCTGAAATAGGTTTAATATTACTCTTTTCTTAATCTGCCTTTTTAATATGTGTAATAGAGTGTCAAATTATTTTATGAGTTATAGTGGAATCCTATTCACGTCTACTTAAAAGTAAGCCCCAATCAGTTTTCCGGCTTACTTCCAGATCAGTGCATATAGGATTGTAGCTTTCAGGCTGTGATTTTGTCGGAGGGTCTGTGGAAATAATAAAACTGGAATCAGTCTGTACAAATAAAAGACTGGGAGCGTATGGTGCACAAGATGAAATTCCATAATTATTACTGAAAATCCAGTCTGGAGTTTTTATAAAGAGAAAAATAAGAAAGCGAACTTGCTTAGAAAAATCTGCCCTTGGTTCTAAAAGCCAAGTTGCACGCAGATCTGTATGTGCAATTTTCTGAAGTCACTCAATGCTGGAAGCAAAACAAAAACCTTGGCCTCTTGGGAGAGGCATTTGGCATATAATTACACTCACTGCAAGGCTCCAGATCAAGAGATGGAGCAGAGACTTGGCATTAAGAAAGTGTTGCCCGTGAGCCAATGGGAAGGCCTGATGGATCTCCCGTGGAATCCGTGTTCCCTAGCTATCCTTAAAGACACTGCAAAGGTCCCAGAGAGATGGTTACATGGAGCAATATGTGGCTAGAATTTATGACAGTAAAGAGCAGCACATAAAAAAGGCACTGAGTTGGCAAGGCTGTTTTAGAGATAGTACCGCATTTACGCTGAGCTCTATGCTTGATCATTGGGCTGAAAAACACCCAATCAGAACTTATCTACAGTGTGAATCAGTTCTTTGGGTCATCTCAGCCATGATTCAGCATCGTGGCCGCCCGCTTGATTCTGAAGATTATATAAAATGCCGAGTGATGCTTTAGTCAGGGGTGTCAAACTGCTGGCCGGTCGCATTATACGGAGGCCACGCCCACCCCAGCAATGCAAAAAAAGTCGCGATACATCGCGACACGTCACATGACGTGGGGAGTTTGACACCCGTGCTTTAGTGGAATAAATGGTCTCTCCAAACAGAAAGCACGATTCAGCCGACATTAAGTTCTTGAAAGATGTTAATTTCAACAGCTGATAGTTACATGCATGCTCAATAACAACCCAAGAGATTCCAATGTGCTTTTCTAGGGCTGATACAATATTTCATTGTATATTGTTCTGGATATGCCCAACGTCACCGCACCAAATAAGTAAACCCCAATTTTCTAGTGATCTACTCCTACCAGTCTAATTAATTACAAGTGGGCTGAGGTCAGATGCAGACTCCCAATATTTTATTAGCATGTACCTTCATCAAGTCTTTGCATCCCACTGGGCAGAAAAGTGAGATAAGGAGTTTTATAAATAGCAAAAATATATACTTTGCTTTATGTCCACCAAGCCTTCATGTTTCACCGAACATTCAATGGACTACAACAGAGGTCCCCAACCTTTTGGGCACCAGGGACTGGTTCCGTGGAAAGAGGTTTTTCCGCGGACTGGAGGGTGTGTGGTTTTGTGTGCTGCCTGCATCCCACAGATGGGGCTTTGCTTGTTTGTGCGGACAGGTTGTTGACATGCCGCGGCCCGGTACTGGTCCACGGACCGGGGGTTGGGGACCCCTGGACTACAACATTCTTGCCTTGTTGACGGTAATTGTCTCACCTTTCTTTTGTTATCTCCCAAAGCTTGCCCTACTCCACAAGATGCATAGTTTGCTATTTTGTGGACAAATCACCTTGCCCTCGCACCCTATGAAGTAGCATCTGGCCTTTGTAGGCTCAGAAGCTGCACAGGATCAGATCTGGTTCATATGCAGATAGGGGACTGCTATAAAATGCGGGGGTTGTAGGTTAGTTTGACCAGTACAAAAAAAAAAAAAATGCCTGGTAGAAGCCAACAGCGAACTAGTTAGAAAACTACATAAATGTTTCCTTGCTGACCTTAATTCCTTTTTGGATTATAGTGCAAATTGGTACGTACTATATGCTGTTCTCTGCTCTCGCTTGCTTGCCATGCTTCATGCCTTTGGGCAATACTTATTATGGGACCAAGATTTAGATATGGACCAAAATCTTTCTTATTGCCATAATCTTCTGAAAACTATAGCTCCAGATACGGCAATGGACTGCACATTCAAAAAAACCCCTTAAGTCAACCTCAATCCCAGAGCTATTTTTTGCAGTTAGATTGCAGTCCTACGTGACAGTCAGCTCCACAGCATTAAATGGAGCCGGTTTTTTTTTTTAGTTGATGTATTTAGGATTGCACTGGATTTTAGTAATATAGTGGCTGATGAAAATTATAGCTACTAATTTCTACATTATGGCTCAGATTCAGGGAACTTTCAGAAAAAAAGACACGCCCAGTTTCTGTCTGTTCCATATATACATGACAATCAAATCTGCCTGTGAAACATGACTTTCTTGGTTAGAATGGCTGACCTATCCCTTAAAATGTCTGCAATTATACAAAACAGTCCTATGATATAATGAAGGACATAAGATAAGGTGATGTTATACATCGATATGTATATAGGTATTTTTATATCAATTTTGAGGAGTTACTGCCAAAACATTTATGACAAGCTGTATCACTGCCTTTGTTAATATATATAGTTTTTTTTTACTGTGATATATTCCACAGGCACGCTAACTGTTGCACTTTTAAATGTCCAAATTTTATATTTTAGATAAGGAATGATAAGGAAAAGCGCATAAGAGCGTTCCGGATGGTAGCTGGAAGAGTGACTAAAGGTACAAAAATGTAATACAACTGCCCCTTTTCTTATTTTTTTTTGTCTTTAAGAACATGTAAATTAAGATCTTTATATTTCAATAAATGATATATATAATTTAAAAATACTTCAGAAGTTTCTGTTCTTACTCAAAGCGATCTGCTGTTTCCTCCAGTTTGGTGCTACACATGATTCAATTCACCTTATTTAGTCTAAGTAGCAATCATTGCTAATACAGTTAGTCCTTGACTTACAACAGTTCATTTAGTGCAGTGGTTCTCAACCTGTGGGTCGGGACCCCATTTGGGGTCGAGCGACCATTTCATGGGGGTCGCCAAACAACGCAGTCCGCCATTTTTTCCCCCTTTTCCTTAGCTGTGCTACTCCCTTTTATTCTATTGGCTTTCGAAAGCCAATAGAACAGACTCTCTTGAATAGAGTCTAATTCTATTGGCTTTCAAAAGCCAATAGGAATTGTCCAGGCTGTCTCTGCCCTGCTGAGCCCGCCAAAAGTCCCATTCTGCAAACGGTGCTGCACCAGTTGAGTAGTCCTCGACTTATGACCGGTTGAGTCAGTCCTCGACTTACGACCAGTTGGGGGTCGCGGCATTAAAAAGATTGAGAACCACTGATTTAGTGACTATTCAAAATTACAAGAGCACTGAAAAAAATAACTTGTGACCGGTTTTTTCATACTTATGACATTGCAACATCCCCAGGGTCACGTGATCAAAATTCAGACACTCGGCAACTGGTTCATATTTATGACGGCAGCCGTGTCCCGGGTCATGCGATTCCCTCATTTGCAACCTTCTGACAACCAAAGTCAATGGGGATTCACTTAACAACCACATTCACTTAAGCCAGATTCACTTAACAACCATGTTACTAACTTAGGAACAGCCGTGATTCACTTAACAACTGTGGAAAGAAAGGTCGTAAAATGAGGCAAAATTTGCTTAGCAAATGTCTCACTTAGAAACAGAAATTTTGGAGTCCATTGTGGGCGTACGTCTACATGTAGATCAAATTGCTCCAGGCTGAACAACGTGTGCACTCAAAGACCAGCCTTTTGATTGATTTGGCATTCCTCAAGACTATATACAGTAGTGGCCAAAATTGTGAAAACCTTTTGGGAAAAGTGTATTTTTGAGGTTTGATGGCTAATAACACCACTTTTTTTGGGAGTAGTACCATAAAATTATATATCAATGGAAAGATAATTTAATCAAGAATGTAATGCAATAAGGTTTGTTCAATTATCTGTACTGTATTCTATGAAATGTTATAGCCAAATAATCAGAAAAAGAAAGCACAACTTGCTTAGGTTGATCTCAGATAGCTTTCCTTCGTCTGATTGTAGCCAATGAGCGTGAGTGTTTAGAGAGCCAATCAGATGTCATCTTGTTTTGGCAATGAGCCAATCAGATCAGAGTAGGGTTCAGTGATTGATGTCCTGTATTGAAGCTGAGAGGAGAACATTTGTCAGTGTGTTATGTGATCGCTTTCAAGTTGGTTGGGTTTTTTTTGTGTTCTTTCATTTAGTGAGCTTGTAGAACGTAATAAAATTAAAATAATGGTGCAAAGAGTTGACTGGTTGCCCAGAAAGCGATGTAAAATAGTATTATTAAGTGAACAGGGCTACAGTTATAAAGAAATTAGAAGAAAAATAGGTGGAAACTTAACCAAAGGTGGCATTTCTACTATACACTTTTCCCAAAAGGTTTCCACAATTTTGGCCACTACTGTAGGGTTGATAAGTTTGAAGTTAAGACATACCTAAATTGGGGCTACTTATGATCCAGATTCAAAGTTCCCATGGTCATCCACCCCACCCCACTCCTCCCGCAGTCACGTGACTGAACTCTGGGTGTTCATTATGACTACTCCTGAAGCCTAAAAACAGTATGCGCTGGATAACAGTCCAGACAGGGTTTTACAATGTCTGGTAAAATGCAAAAATTTCACCTCTCCTCATTTTTCAACTATATGAAGCTGCTGGGTAGTTCATCAATGTAGTGTAGGTAGGATTCATTATCACCAGAATGCTGTGATACCAAGACCACCAGGGATTGTTGTTAGTTGCGAAGTCGTGTCCGACCCATCGCGACCCCATGGACAACGTTCCGCCAGGCCTTCCTGCCCTCTACCATCTTCTGGAGTCCCATTTAAGCTCATGCCTACTGCTTCAGTGACTCCATCCAGCCACCTCATTCTCTGTCGTCCCCTTCTTCTATTGTCCTCAATCTTTTCCAGCATTAGGCTCTTCTCCAGTGAGTCCTTCCTTCTCATTAGGTGGCCATAATATTTGAGTGGCCTTCTAAAGAGCAGTCAGGGTTGATCTCCTCTAGGACTGACCGGTTTGATCACCTTACAGTCCAGGGGACTCGCAGGAGTCTTTTCCAGCACCATAGTTCAAAGGCTTCCATTCTTTGGCGCTCAGCCTTTCTTATGGTCCAACTTTCACAGCCATACATTGCAAATGGAAAAACCATGGCCTTGACTATACGTACCTTTGTTGGCAGGGTGATCAATAAAAAATATCTTCTTAGCGGCATGGGAGTCAAGAAAGAAGGATGTTTTTATTTTATTTTGGATGCATATATTGAAAGAAATAAATAAGATGCTTTTTTTTCTTTTAGATCAGTGGTTCTCAACCTGTGGGTCGGGACCCCATTTGGGGTCGAATGACCATTTCACGGGGGCCGCCAAACAACGTAGTCCACCATTTTTTTCCCTCTTTTCCTTAGCTGTGCTACTCCCTTTTATTCTATTGGCTTTTGAAAGCCAATAGAAGAGACTCTCTTGAATAGAGTCTAATTCTATTGGCTTTCAAAAGCCAATAGGAATTGTCCAGGCTGTCTCTGCCCTGCTGAGCCCGCCAAAAGTCCCATTCTGCAAACAGTGCTGCACCAGTTGAATAGTCCTCGACTTACAACCGGTTGAGTAGTCCTCGACTTACGACCGGTTGGGGGGGGTCGTGGCATTAAAAAGGTTGAGAACCATTGTTTTAGATTAAGTTGTCCATTATAAGCTATTTCTGGATCCTGGATCCTGACCTGTAATTAATCTTTAAATAATTTGCTTTTAAGTAGCTTTTTTCCATTACCCACAAGATGGCGCTATTGTACAAGAATTAATTTATCTTAACACCTTTTTTTCCTACACTTCTCACACACACACACACACACACCCCATTTCTGGTAGTAATCTGGACAATAAAAAGTTCACAAGGAAGAAATTACATCCTGGTTTGCTTGGTCTGAAATGCCTTTTCCCCAGCTTCTCAATAATTGTTCAAGAACTAAAGATACTCATAAAGACATGGGGAAAATGATTTATTCCAACCTGTATCCAGTTCCCCACTTTCAAATATAAACATGGATTTCTGAAACAAGTTGAAAAGGAAAATTATAAATAACTCAAGGCGGTGAACATACCTACTACTCTTTCCTCCTATTTTCCTCCTGACAACCTTGGGAGGTAGGCTGGCCTGAGACTGGCTGGCCTGCAATCACCCAGTTGGCTTTTCTGGATTAGAACTCGCAGTCTCCTAGTCCACATTATTTTCCACACAGCGAGGATTCTACCTCACTGATCTTAAACAAGCAGCGTCACACCTGGTTAGTACTGAGGTGGGACGCTATCAAAAAAACAAAAAAACAGGCCAAATTTGGAAATTAAAATAAATCCTGATCGTGATTTGCAACATTTTGGCCAGAAATCAGCCTTTACTTCCAGTTTCTGGGGGGAAAACCCCCCACTCCATAGTGAACAGTGAGTTCCTTAATGACCACGGCTTTTGCTTAACAACCATATTGGTTGTAAAATGAACACTGCATTTGCTTAAGTATTACCACAAAAAGAGATAATAAAATTGGGCCCAGTCAGCTGATGGGCATTAAAACCTACCATCACCTGTTGTAGAAGTTTCTATAAAAAATTGGGGGACATTTCTATTATCAAAATGTCCCCCCAGATACTTTCCTTTTAATACAAGCAGTTTTGTGATGGCATGACCCATATTTTGGTTAGGGCATGAGCTTGTATAAGCAACCATTATACAGTCAAAGAAACTTTCAAATATTCTTCTTGCACAAAATCCTTTGATCTGGATAGAACAGACTGGACAGGAAGAAGCATACCACTGAAATTACTGCAAACCTGGTTATCTCCAAACAGTATCTATAGTTTCTGCAAAGGTGATCAAAAAGCAACAACGATTCCAATTCATCCCAATGCTGGCATCTTCTTCTTTTACCCATTAAGAAATTAAATGAATATGTATTGTGAGAAGTAAGTCTTCATCCTGGTTCATCCAAGCCGGGAATAAATAGGCAACATGGAGACTGCTTTGGGAAGAAGGTTACAGTTTATTGAAGAAGCAGAAAGATGGTCCTCGCAGGAAGGAGCAGAGGAGAGGAAAAAGAGAGAGCACATGGGCAGAAGGTTTTTTTATACCCTCTCTAGCCTTGTTTGGAATAGTTTCCTGTTCCTGTGGCATGAACCTTGAGGCTGTTTCTGTGTGTTTGTCTAGGCCTTGATATCTGTGGTTTAATCCTATTATCATATCCTGCTTCTCAGGTGATGGGGCTAATGACTCCTAGAGTTTGGGTGGGGTATGCAGATTTTCTTTGTCTTCTTGATTGCTCTGGCTTCAATTCTCTGATGGTTTTACATCTGCATTTGTATGGGGCTAAAGTCTTGCTTGGGGCAGAGAGATAGATTTGGGGCCAGGTTTGGTTTTTAAAAAGTCCTTTTGAGGAAAATTATATTTTTCTGCCTTTTTAATATTTCCTTCTCTGGGCTAACTTCCCTCAGTATGATGTCTGCAGCTTCACAATACATGGAGAAGGGCAAAAAGTGGTTTGCATTTTTTTTTTTCCAGTTCTGAGCTGCCCACTGTCCTGACTGGGGTTAAGAACCCCACCTCCCAAAATAAGTGAAGATTTGCTGTATACAGTAGTGGCCAAAATTGTGGAAACCTTTTGGGAAAAGTGTACAGTAGAAATGCCACTTTGGGTTAAGTTTCCACCCATTTTTCTTCTAATTTCTTTATAACTGTAGCTTTGTTCATTTAATAATACTATTTTACACTGCTTTCTGGGCAACCAGTCAACTCTTTGC